CACCATCATGTATATATATATATATGTAGATATAATTTATCGATGGACATTTTGATGGGTTTTTTTTTACTTATTTTATCATGTATAATATATTACTGAACTTTATTTTCAGTCTTATTATGGGCCACCCAATATTTTCTTAAATTTACGTAATGGTAAACAAATTGTATCAAGATGTCAAATTCAAACAAGACACTTTTTGTATTCTAAAATTTCAGAATGTAAAGGACAATTTTGTAAACGAATTCGACCTTGGTTTTTGGTTTGTACAGTTTTGTATTTAAGTTAATATCAAATATATTTTATTATCAAAGATTTATTGTAGAATTTAATCAACTTCAACCGTAAGAAAAAATAATTATTATAAATAACCTTCATTTTTTTTACACATACCTAACTATTTCATACTTGACAGGCAACTGAAAAAAAAGAAAACGTATTCGATGGAATTATGGAAACTATATTTTGGATAGGACCATACGAGGATTTCAATGTGGGAATAAAAAAAATTCCCGGACTTCTATATAATAATTGTAATGATCAGCCTTGCTCACAATATAATTTCAAATTATATGACAAAACAGTAATTTTTTTATTTTTTATTGATGAGTAGGTAATATAATATACAGTTAAATTATATATTCATATTTTTACCAAAACTAATTTAGCTCTTACAAATCAAAGCACACATAAGTCAAGCTGCTCTAACCGAAAAATGTTACAAAAAATACAGTCGGTTAAATTTAATGGCACGAATAATTTTTAACGGGCATTCAATGACAACCGAAGTATGAATATTCTGTTGGGTCTTATAAATATGTAATAATTAGTAAACCCATATAGTTGTTGACTATTGAGAAGAGTGCCGTATCCGGGGAGAGATAAACTGGGGGCAATCCCTCTCCCCCAATTTTTTTGATGAACAATGGTGTCATAAATTAACAGGCAGTGGCGTATTTACGGGTGAGGGGGATTGAGGGGATAGATCCTCCATTGATGATTTTTTTAGGCATTAACAATTATTTTAGAGTTTTTTTTGGTAGTTTTTCCATTTTATAAATATAGTAAGAAAAAATAACGAATTGATGGGTAATAAATAAAAATGTAGTAACTACCCCTACTCTAGTCACTGTTATTGCGAATTTGCGCTACCACCACTGAAATTCCGTAACAGGGGGGCTAACAGTTGTAAATTTGTAGTATAAAAACAAGATTATTAATTTATTAGTTATAGACTAAAATACCAACATTAAATCAAATATATACATATATTATAGTAGTATATTGCACGTAATCAGGCTATCGGCATTCTTATTTGTTTGGAACAACAACATTCGTACTTTTAGACGAAAAACCAGCCTACTGTATATAATTGTATTATAATATATTCACCTATTTATGTATAAATATTATTTACTAACACATTTGTTTTAAACTTAGTAGATACCTACTACTCAGTAGTTTAGTACTTAGTTACTACTAACTCCTGGCATTTGTTTCAATTCTAGTCAGTTTTTGGAACCTGTATCTTGTGGTGTACTGGTGTTAACTGTTTAGTTATTACTTATTTGCATTCAATTTATTCAAAAATTAACAATAGTCAATAGATACTCATATTTATGAAGTTATTGATGGACTGACCACTGAAAAAAGAAAACGGTTTTACTATTTTAGACATAACGAAAATAATCATTGCGATGTAGGTAGTAGGTAATAGGTACCCACTAAAAATAATGATTAACTGTGTCAATTTTTATTCAATGTAGAATATCGTGTACACTATACAGCAAAGGTTCTTAAACTAGCGGAGACCTAGATTTTTGAAATACTGCGATAATCATCTAGGTGCGACATATATATATGTATGGTTACATGAATGGCATATCTAATTTAAATTAAAATAAAATAATATTTGGTTTATCACGTTTATTTTATTAATAGTAACCGGTATATTTTGTTTTGTGGTCTAGATTATGTTAGAAACGAGTTTGTTGAAGGATATATTGTTTTTATGGATTATAATTGTATTATACAGAAACAAACTAATAAGCAAATCTTGTATGCATATTTTTTAATGAGTTATATATATTTTATGAAAATTAAAAATGTTTAAATGTTAGAGTTTTATACTTTTATTGGAAACAAAAGGGCTCTACGAACAAATAAGTTTGAGAACCGCAGCTATTCAATATTCATAGTAGGAAAGTATCTTAAACCCTAAAGGGGTGTGTCCCCTTCCTTACACAATTCTTAAATACGCCGCTGATAACAGATGATAAGTATTCTACTTCTACAAAAACTAGACAAAAAAAAATTTCTGGTTACGGCACTGATAGAGAATTTTTAAAATTACTGTAATAACAACACTACGCTTAAAATGTATTAACATTATTTCAATATGTGTCTTTATACTATGCTGAGAACTGAAAATTATTTAAAATGTTAGGCAATCCACTCAAACGTATCAACGTCATGGAATGTATCGATTTTGTTTAAACCAATTTTGTTTATGAGGTATGGAGATACTAATAAAATGACACCGATATATGTAATCATTCAACTATGCCACATAGAAACAGAAAAGAAAGAACTAATAGAAGTAAATATGAGTCATGATAAAAATTAATCGATTAATCGATTCGATGTAAGCAATAATATTATCTTTTATAGGATGTCATCGCATTTACTGTTATCAATGTAAAAGAAATTGACAATTCTTCACGTAAGACATTAAATTGGTATGATATCGTGGATAGTTCAGAAAAAATTGGTAAATTGTATATGGCTGCCGAAATCACACAAATCGTATCTAATGAATTAATAGAAATCGATAACGATAAGAGCGTTCCCTTATTGAAACATGTGCTACCCAATCTACGTGTTTATCAGTTAGTTTTTTTTACAAAAATTGGGAAAAATAAAATTTACTTGTCAATTTATTACAGATTAGTTGTACTGTTTTGGGGTTTGCGCCAATTAAACGTACATTTGCACGAGCCATTTGTCCGATTGTTATGCTCGACTTCAAGCATTGATTCTCAAATAATTAAAAATGTTAACTCCTTTTCAAATTTCCCAAACTTGGTCGATAAAAAATGTATACTCAGTTTAGTAAGTATAAAATAAATTATTTTAAAGATTTTAATACCTAACAAAATACCTTATTTTAAAGGAATTACCTGAAGATCTATATCTTATACCTCCCATAAGTTTTCAACTTTTTACTAAGTATATTATAAAAAATTATCACACTCCAGTCGGAATATGTGTTTCTCAGCCCCTAGATGAATTTATGGTTCCCTCTATATCAAAAACTCAACAGAACAAACGACCAGATTATTCAAGTAAAAAACAATCATTTTTATTTTTATTTTTTTTTTTAATCATATGAAAATAGTTTTAGAAATGGAAGAAGACAACGACGAAGAGGAAAAAAAATCGAAAATTAAGAAAACAATAAAAAAAAAAATTAATTTCAAAGTAATCAATGCATTCGATGATTAAAAAATAGTGGTTAAAAATAAAACATATTCCAGGATAATTTCAGATTTTATTGCAATGTTTTAAAACAAAAATTTGACAGTATTTTTCCAACGTGCTTAAAAAACATTATTTCGTGGATAACTGAACACATAACATGTGTCTTAACGTTATTATACAACGTAATATGTTATATACTCCCATGTGTAAATAATATTACTTATTGGACTTCAAACAATTTACAAAATTATATTAGCTATTTTGGAAATAAATACGATCCTTTAATTGATGATGAACTTGAAGAAGACGAAAAAGAGTTAAGTTGGTGGACAAAATACTACGTGTTCAAATATCAAAAGGTTGTAAAAAGTTGCAATTCTATTAATCAATATAATAAAGAATTTGCCATTGTGTTTTATCATTTTCCTATACCTATGTTAATGGTATGAGGCAATGAAAAAACTACGTTGGCCTATACATAATGATTGATTTATATATTTTGAGCAAATCATATCTAAATAACATATTTTTTATAAATCAATTGATTACAGAAAACATTTCAAGAGAATAAACATGAAAATATGATATTAAACATTCCAAGCAAACTTCTCCCAAAAAAATCAAATAAAACCCATATTCCTAAATATTATTCAAAAACTAAATTAACAACAATACAAGTATAGTTTAAAATAATGACTAGTAATTATGAATTGAATATTTTTTTTTATTTCAATCAGTTATACGATCATGAATTAGAAAACGTTCCAGAATTTAACGGATTTGAAGACAATTTGAAAAAATTTAAAATCTATGAATTTGATAAAAAGGATGAAAAGGCAACAGTTGTTGCTATATTAAAAGTAATTATTATCGATTTGTAATAGGTATTTTACGAGTTTTACTTATGTTATTCCATCTTAAAAACCAGTGACTTCTATTACCTTACAAGTAAAATACAATTAGTATTGCTATAATGATAATATATTATATACATAGGCGTGCGCATCCCCGGAACCTTCACCAAAAACGACTAGGGCCCTAATTATTAATTAAGTGTAAATTAAATTAATGAAATTATTAACGAATTCAAAAATGCTGTTCCTTTCAAACATTGATTATCGTTATAAGATTGTAATATTGTATATCTATATATTGTTTTATTTGTTATGTAATGTTTATTAGAATGAATAATAAAATAACATAAATATTTTTAGTGCATTTGATATCTTTAAAACATTTGTCTGTATCTATAATTGTTTTCAAAATTATTGTGGGCCCTAATTTTTAGTATGCACCCCCGGAACGAAAAGTCTGCGCACGCCTATGATTATATAGGTACTATAATTAATTTGATTCGTGACAAATTTATTTCCACCAGTAGGTACTTGTGAATTGTAAGTCGTATATTACTTTTCCTCATACGTTTGCACCTATACTGCCAAAACACTCAAATTTTGATTTTTGTTCATATTTTGCATGTGTTGCGTACTCATATATAGGGAAATGTGCATTTGTATCCAATGCCAGTTGATAATGACGAACAAGGCACGTCTCAAGAACAATTATTTTCTAACACGGCATCTCAAATATGGCCAGGATTGAAATCGAACGCGAAGTGCAACATCATTGTGCGTATTTATATACTGAGAGCATACAACTTACATCCCGGAGATATTAGTGGACTATCAGATCCATATGTAGAAATTGTTTTAGGGAAATCCATTCGCATATCGGATAGCAAAAAATACGTCCCTAAAACATTAAATCCTGTGTTTGGCAGGTAAATATAAGTTGGACCTAAAAAAACGTGTTCATAATATAGCGTAGTTGTATGCATATTGTACATAATTTAATAAACAAATACAATATTTATCATATATTGTATTCAGTAGTAGTGGCTTATATAATACAGAGGCGTAACTATGACCTTTATTGATATTATAAATATTATTGTTAATAATAGCAAGAAAAACATTTATTTAATATCTTTTAATATAAATTAAATGTTAAATAATATCAAACATATATAAATCATTTTAATATGATACATTTCATTATTGTAAATCATATACAGTAATACTATTTAACTAGGAAAATGAAGATGTGAGGGCTAGTTCTTCCCGCTCGCATTTGAGTTAAAAATGATTTGGCGGCAGTTGTAGGAGTATGGTGTTGCGTTATCGAATTAATAAATTGTTTGGTATTGCGGACAATGCTATAAACCTAACCAAACCCAACGAAATCGTATATACAGTGTGTTCACGAAAATAGAGAACACTTTATGATTCATTACCCTGTAAATATTTTCAATTCTGTTTGTGGGACATTTAACTAGACTAATAGATCATAAATTCCTATAACTTACAATTTTTTTAACTCATGTATTTTGCGTATACTCAATACAACTTCATTTTTTTTTAATGGTAACCTATGTTTTGAATATTATTTTTGGGTTGATCAATTTTTTCAAAGTAATTTTGATCCATCAACTTGTATTCTAAACCAAAAATTGGCGGAATTCGATAGATATAATTTTTTAAAAAAATGATTAAATTAAATTAAGGATTCTGAGTTGAACGATGAATGTATTGATTTTACAATGATGTGTGTTATTTTTTATTTCTTTTTTTTGTGTGTGTACACGATAAGTAGTCAAAATAATGCTTAGATTTTCAACTTCAGTATCTTGCTCGATGGGAAAGTGAATATTTTTGGTGCATTGAGGAGGTAAAAATTTAAAATTCCCAATAGTTTTAAAAAGCGCCGGAAAAAACAACATAAAAATTAAGGAAAAACAGCAATTTTTACACTAAAATCTGTTTTCGAAAAAATCGATTTTGGTTTTGGGTGTAACTCTAAAACAAATGAACGTGCATATAACAAATTGTCACTGGTCGTTTATATTTGCATTTTCTATACACGATAAAATTTAAAAAATATTTTGATTTGTTTTGAATTGTTTAGGAACATTTTCTGTTTCAAATTTAAATAGTTTTTTTTTCTATCACTGTCAATAAAAATTTATTTGTTGGGTAAAGAAGCTTGAGAATTTCCTACTATATTGTTACAATGACATTTGAAAAACATTAAAAATACTTCGTCACAGTTTTTATTTATAAGCATTTAAAGTTCAAATCTTGGCAAAATACTGAAAAATCACGAAAATTAGCAAATTATTTTGAGTTGAGAATTCATAAACATTTTTCTTTTTAAATCTAATATTTGAAAATGTGATACAAGATTCCTCATACGTTTGTCTACCTTTATCAAAAAAAATGTCTACAAGCAAATCAAATTAAATTTTTATGAGCTTTTAAAATTCATATATTTACAATATTGGATATTCACTCGATTTCTCATATAGCGGTTTTGTTGTTTTATTGTTATTCAAAAACGAATAACTGTAGTAGATACATGAAAACTTTACTGAATGTTTAAATTTTTGTTTTCTATACACTATACAATTTTGAAAATATTTTGGGCTGTTTACAGACATTGTCAGTTTTCAATTTTTTTAGTTTTTTTTTTCAATAAATATCAATAAAATGTTATTTGTTGGTTAAAAAAGCGTGAAAATTGAATGCAAGGCTCCTGATATATTGTTACAATAGCAGTTGAAAAATATTAAAAATATATAGGGACAATTTTTTTTTATAAGTATTTAAAGTTCGAATTTTGACAAAATTTATCAAATTTAAAATTTAATAATTAATTTTTGGTTAAAAATTTATAAAATGTTCAACTTTTATAGCTAAGGATTGAAAATTTAAAGCAAGGTTTCACGTTAATCGGTAAATATTTAAATTACTTTATTCACAATAATATCATCAAATATACTTAGTAATATCATAGGCTGACTGACCGTTTTCGCTCAGAATCGTTTTTCTTATACAATGATATCATTGAATTCAAATTTAACACCATTCATTATAGTGACCCACCTGTAACCTACTGTACAGCAGAGCGACATCCACTTTTTTTGATAAAAAACACTTTAACAGTAATTTACACGGTTTGAATGGCAATCTCTGCTTCGAGATAATAATATACACTGCATAATGTCGCCGCAATTATTTTTAATTAGCTTCGGTCACGCTGGTTACATTAGCACTAGAGTATTACCACACAGATCGATATGAGAGTGATTCTAATGTTATCGGGTTATTCAGAATTAATAAGAAAATATATTTTTATTATTTAAAATACCTATGTATTTTTTTTTCGATGAGGTGTTTTGAAAGAGTAATATCGTTCCCAGAATGTTCGATGATGAAAATTAGAATTATGGATTACGATAGAATTGGGAAAAATGAATTGATCGGTGAAACGACAATTGATATTGAATCAAGATATTTCAGCAAACATAGAGCTCACTGTGGACTACCAAAGCAATATAACAAGTAATTAATAGATGAATACATAACATATCGTTCATTCTGATTCCCGACATTTTTCCTAAAGTAATTATATATTATGCAATGAATAAAAAAAATAAAGTCCAACAAAAATTCATTACAATACACCGAACTACAGATACCGGATTTTGCACATTTATCGGTATGGGGATAGTGGCATTTCGCACGTGTCTCCATATTGGAGTTTGAAAGCATTTGCCTAATTCGGAAAATATTCTGATACGGACTGTTAAAACTGTTTTGTGTTGTTTATAATTATTTTAACTTTTATACGAAATAAAACACAACCAATACTTTCTTAATAAAAGTAGTTATAAATTATAATTCCAATTTAATGTTCATCATATTTAATATTTAAAGTAGTCGACAATATTTAATGTCGACTACTTTAAATCACTGCCATTGTTGGAAACAATAGGTACTATTAATCACCTTTGAGAGCTCACCTATTGGCTATTATCAGGCCTCTTAAAAGTTCTACCGTTTTAATTTTTACTATTTTTCAACCGAATGAATAAACCTTCAATAAACTTCTAATGTTTGAGAATCTATTAATCACGAGTAATAATATATACTAATATACTATGGATAATAGAGTTGTACCTGTTATTATACATACCAAAGCCTGAAATCGGTTTCCTTTCAATAAACTTTTAAATTTAAAAAAATCCGGGTAAAGATAATGACTACCTAATGAGTATTGAGTAAGTGTAAAATTGTTTTTCGGTTAAAAACGTTGAATTGAAAATACACTGAGAGCTGGTGTAATGCTATATGCCTATGCCCATGGTTTTTTTTTAAATTTGGCCATTTGGGGAATAATAAAATTATGGTTAGATGGATGCGACTAGATATTATGTGGAAAAATGGATAGGTGCAAAAAAAAATTCCAGTTCAAAGTACATTTCCAATACAATGTTTCTTACTGAAATAAAGTTTCTCATTCCCTTGACCCCTCACACTTACCACAACAATAACATTTTAAATATGTACCATTTATTTTTATAATTTTTAATTTTAGATTCTGAGTGGAACAATGAATGTATTGATTTTGCAATCATGTGTGTTTTTTATACTTTTTTTTTTAAATTTTAAATTTTTTTTTAAATTTTTTAATTTTTGTGTCTGTGTACACGATAAGTAGTCCAAATAATGCTTCGATTTTCAACTTCAGTATCTTGTTCGATTGAAAAGTGGATCGATTTTTAGTGCATTGGGGAGGTCATATTTTAAAATTCCCAATAGCTTTCCAATGCGACGGGAAAAACATTATAACAATTAAGGAAAAACGGGAATTTGTAAGCAAAATCGATTTTTCATAGTCGACTTTGGTTTTTGGTGTAACTTTAAAACAAATGATTGTAGATACATGCAATTTTCAATTGTTGTTTATATTTCCATTTTCTAAACATGATAACATTTTCAAAATATTTTGATTTGTTTTGAACTGTTCAGGGACATTTTCAATTTCCCATTTTATTAGTTTTTTTTCTTTGAATGTCAATAAAACTTTATTTGTTGAGTAAAAATACTTGATAATTTAATACAAGGCTCCTACTTTATTGTTACAATGACATTTCAAAAATATTAAAAATTATTAGTCATAGTTTTTTTTATAATCATTTAAAGTTCAAAAATTGACATAATATGGAAAAATCTCGAAAATTAGCAAATCATTTTTAGTTAAGAATTCGTAAAAAATTTTATTTTTAAATCTAAGATTTTAAAATGCAATACAAGATTCCTTATAAGATTATCTACCTTTATCAAAAAAAAAATGTTGAAAAATCAAATTAAATTTTTATGAGCTTTTGAAATTAAAATTTTTACCACAATGAATATTCACTCGATTTCTCGTGTAGCGATATCCTTATTTTGTTGCAATTCAAAAACGAATAACTGTAGATACATGAACATTTCACTGAATGTGTATTTTATCAATTCTTATACTGGATAAAATTTTGACTCTTTTTGGGCTGTTTACGGACATTGTCAGATTTCAATTTTTTTAGTTTTTTTTCTATGAATATCAATAAAGTTTTATCTGTTGGGCCCAAAAGTGTATACATTTAATACAAGGCTCCTGATATATTGTTACAATAACAGTTGAAAAATATTAAAAATGCATAGGTGACATTTTTTTTTTTTTATAAGCATTTAAAGATCGAGTTTTGACAAAATTGATCACATTTAAAATTGAAAAATTATTTTGTAGTTAAAAATGTATAAAATGTTCAACCTTTATATCTAAGGATTGAAAAATTTAAAACAAGATTCCACGTAAACAGCTGTTACCAAAAAATCTAAAAAATACATAAACGCAGTTTATTTTTATAGTCATTTTAAGTTCAAATTTGGACGAAATTACATATTAAAAACCTAGAATAACTATTTTAGTTATTTTGTTGTGATTGTATATTATTATTCGTGGGTAATTGAAACTTCTAAAGTATACTATTATATATCTAATATAGTATCATGGTTTGATGTTGATGTATAACAAGTTATAAGTATCTAATGGCTATTGTGATATGATTAATTTGGAATTTATTATAGGTACCTATTATTTCAATTTTTCAAATTTAATACCATCCATTATACAGTGACCCCCTTGTAACCTACTGTACAGCAGGGCACCTTTTTAATTTTAATATTTTAAAAACTTGGTCCATTATGTATAGGGATGGATACAACCGTTGGAGAGATAGTGAAAAACCTTCAAAAATTCTACATGAACTGTGTTCGTTATATTCATTGAAACATCCAATATACACGACGAACAGTGTTACGATTGGTCTTAAAACATTTCATGTTCACAATGAAAATACTGAATCCGATAGACAATCGTTGGCATTGTATGTATTAAACCATTGGCAAGAGATGCCAGTTGTTGGTTATCATTTAGTGCCTGAATATGTAGAAACTAGAACATTATATAATCCAGATATGCCTAACTTACACCAAGTATAATAAATAATAATAACTACACATGATAACGATTTAAAAAAAAAAAACGAATTTCTTTAAGGGCACATTAGAAATGTGGGTTGACATGTTTTCAAAGGATAGTAATATTCCTGAAATGGTAGATATTAAACCACCAATTGTTGAACTCTACGAACTTCGTGTAATTATTTGGTCCGTCACTGATGTAAAACTCGTGGATAACAACTTTTTTACAAAAGAAAAACACAGTGATATTTATATCAAAGGGTTCATACATAGCTAAATTTGTCCATTTAAACTTAGATAAAGTAATCTGTTTTGATGTCTTAGGTGGTTACCAGGTGTCGAAAAACGGTCAACAGACGTTCATTACCGATCATTAAACGGCGAAGGATTGTTCAACTGGCGTTTAAAATTCTCGTTCCCTTATAATAAAACTGAAAATATTATTGTCTACAGAAAAAAAAATTTTTTCGGTTTGGACTACGAAGAACAACAATTTCCTCCCAAGTTAAATCTTGAAATTTGGGATAACGACCAGTTATCACCAGATTTGTATATAGGTAAATTAAACATTTTGTGATGAAAGTTGTGAGTTGCTTGTATATAGACTCAAATTTCGTACAATTTAGGTTCTTTGACTTTGAACTTGCGCAATATGCCTCGTGGCGCGAGAACTTCATGGATGCATAACTTTTCCAACATTTCCCGAATAAACTTGTTCAAAGTAAAAAAAACAAGTGGATGGTGGCCGTTCATTTCCACGGAAAATAATAAAAATACTATTGTAGTAAGCATTCTACTAATTAGTGATTAAGCTATTTCTCCGAAAATAATTATAAAAAAAAATGTTAATTATGCATAACAAGGGTAAAGTAAATGCCGAAATTCAAATAATGACCAAGCAAGAAGCGGATAAATCACCAGCTGGATTTGGTAGAGATGGGCCCCTACCTTTGCCCGTACCGAAGTAATTTACTTTTGCTTCATAATAAATGGCTGCAGAATAATAATCTATAATTTAATATTAATAGGAGACCTTCAACTCATTATTTAAAATCAATTGTGGATCCATTTAAGTTTGTATTCCGAAGTGTATTCTCAGCTAACAAAACGAAGTTTTTATTTGTTGTACTACTTGTTTTTGTGGTATTATTTTTTGTCATAATGATTTATGCAATTCCAGGAAACATAATAAGAATACTATTCGACAAGTTTTTCAAAAAAGTATAACATTATTTTTTTATTTTTTTTCTTGTAGATAAAATAATGTGGTTAAATTAATCTTAAAAATAAAATAAAACTTAAATCTTTAAGCATAATTAGCGTTGCAAGGTTGTTGAATATAGTTTAAACAAAAACCACGATTACCCATGTCATTTGGCATTTCCACAGCATTTGTGTGAAAAGATAACCGAAAAGGTCGGACACTACCTGTGAACAAAACGTAATTAAATATTCAGAATGGTTATTAAATGAATAATTTTTAGTTACAGATTTTTAGAATTTTAAAATATATTTAAAGACAATATTATCAAAATTCTTGGAATTTTTTCTAGGTACATACATACTTCTAGGAGTGTCCTGTGTGAAGATACAAAATTCTGTTTTTAAAATGTGACCCCCTCTTCTTTTCTACTGCAAATTATTTAATACTAGCTGATCCAGTGCACTTCGTTGCCCGTTATATGTACCAACTCTTTATGACTCAAACTTTGTTCAATTCGTTATTTAATATTCAGTGTATGGTATTCAAAACTTATCTTAACTTTTCCGTTGCCAGGAATGAAAATTCTGATTCTCAGCAGTATATTATCAGGTAGGCAATCTACCTGCGGTATATCGCGGACCCCGTGCTGTTTGTAAGTAAATGGATGACCTAACTCTAGAGTATCAAAGACCAAAGTTATACCAAGTTTATCGTTTTTACTTAATTTCACCTACGGCGGATTAATATAATCAATTAATACAAAATCCTAACCCAACCTTACTAAAATCTGATGAATAAAAAAAAATCATATTTAACCCTTTTTAAGGTCTAATCTACACACAAACATTCATTTTTATAAATATATAAAAAGATGAATGGGCTGAGAGAATGGTCAAACGACCAATGTTGGCCGCGTCTCCTTCAGTAACGATGGCTTTACGCAAGTGGATGTAGGTACTCGTCTGATCGTAACTTCGACTGATTGAAACGAATGAGATTGAGACGCTCCATTAATATTCAAATTAAAAAAAAATAATATAAATAAATATTATTCTCAACTCCTATAACCCATAGGCCATAGCAACCATTGATAAAGAAAAAATGCTATCGTAAATCTCAAAATTCCTGTTTTAGCACCTACCGGGGGTGATCAATTCTTTTAAATAAGCCTATGACACTCACAAAAAACGTGGCTTTCTATCGGTAAAAGAATTTTCGAAATCGGTTCAGTAGTTCCAGAGATTACTTTCGACAACAGTAACTAACGACCAGTGCCGGATCTAAGTCTCAGGGGGCCGGGGTGCAACTACCAATGGAGGCCCCTTAAAAAAAAATTTTCTCGACTTTACACTTATCTATTTATTTGATACGTTTTGTCGTATTGATATATTAAACAAACTAAAAAACACAACATTTAAATTCCATAATTTAATAGGTAAATTATGAAATTATACATTCACTCACTGTTCTCATATCTATTATTATACCACGCTTAGATATTATTATGATGTATTAATCTTTAATGTATGCTTCTATGCTAGTATAATATAAATTAAGAATACATATCATTAATATGATATTGGCTGTATATTCTCTCTATTGTCCTAAAATTAAAGGACCCAAATATGAATCAGGTACCTCAGTTACCTGAATTGAATACAAAATTATTCATCAATCCTTTATATTTTTTTAATTCATTGTTTTGAACATTTTTCTCCGTCTTTTAGAGGCAACACTTTCAAATTGTCTGTTAGACATGTTTTTTTTTTCAAAAGTCAATAAAAGATAGTGTAGGTAGGTACCTAATTTTTATTTTTAATAATCAAATGAAAAATTAATATAATAGAGTAGGTACGCAAAAATAAAACTGACAAAAGTACAAAATAACATATCTGAAACCAATAACACTGCATCAAGGCAAAGGCATGTCCGTAAATCATAATCCATTTACATATATTAAACAATAAATACATATAACCACGGTTACATTATTAGTTTGTCCAGCAAGATACTGCACTAGCGCGAGTTCACGAGCCTCTGAGATTGAATAAATAGTACGATTATACGAAAATAGTATACGATGCATAAGTACTATATAATATAATTAATGTGTATATAAATAAATATGTAAAACAAACAATAACAATGATAAATAGTATTACTTATCTAAAATTCAAACCGTCCAAAATAAATGGTTGTCACTTGTCAGTAACATCTTAAAATAATAAAATTTGTTCATTTTATAATAAAAAGTTATAGAAAGTTAGAAAATTTAGGACTTTAACCTTAGGCCCCTAATACAACCTTGGTCTTGAGGCCCCGGTGCAATGCACCCCCTGCACCCCCGCTAAATCCGGCACTGCTAACGACTCCTCTTTATATAATAGTACAGATATAGATTATATAATATCTGTTAACTATTATAATATGTAATTTTCAAGCCCGGGCATAAACGAGTTAAAAAGTTCAAGTTAAGAGGAAGTCACACCCGCATGTGTTGTCTCCGTCTTACAGACGTACGACAAACAAAACGCATTTACGCAGTCTGAGTATAAATCGCTCAACTTTGGTTCTAGAGTAAAAATACCTATTATAAAATTGAATTATGGCAATATTTCTGAGGGCAAGTTGTTGCGTTTTTTCCATTACACCCAATATAACGTTCGGTATATCGTTTAGAAATAGCAAAAATGTCAACATTTTCAAAATACCTTTAACTTTTCAAATTTTAAATTTAAAAAAAAAAACTCAACGTTTTTCCCTCCAAAATATTGTCATCTTTTAATTTTTTAATAGGTGTTTTTTATTTTAACACCAAAATTGAGCGAGTTCTACTGCGTAAACGTGTTTTGTCTATGTCGTACGTGTGTAAGACGGAGACAACATATGCGGGTGTGACATCCTCTTAAGTTAAAAGTTAAGTTAAGTTTAACTTTTTTAGATTTAATTTTTATTAACTTAATTTTCAACTTAGCTGATTTGTATTGATATAAACTTAATAAATAACAAGTTATCTTAATCAAATCCAAGTTAGGATAATTTATAAATAATTAAATAATAAATATAATACAATCATTATTGATGATACATGTTGTGTAAACATTTACTTTTTATTATTTTAAACCATATTACTGGCTATTTATAAATTAAAAATTACTTAACTTAAGTTAATAAGTTAATTGTAAGTTTCAATAAAATAAACAATGTAGTTTGTACCTACAATAACTACCTATATGTAAACTAGCTTATTGTACCTAACTACAGTGTTTGTAAACAGTGTAAGTTGAAGCTTGGCATATAATAAACAATAATAGGTAATATTAATAATTTTATGAAAATTTTGGTGTGTCAAAATCAAAATTCGAACGAGTATTTTTTGAGTTATTTAACTTTGTATACTATGGATCAGGTCCATGAGTCATGATAATAGGTTTGGACGATATGGGAATTATAGGCGACCACGATTATACTTCCGCTTGCCTTGAAATAAAGATTCGTAGATTTCGTATTTGTAGATAGCATACGGCACTAGTATTCAGTGCATAGATAGCATACGACACCGCTACCGGAATTATCATGGTGACTTAAAATTTTTAGTAATTAATATTAATCTATACCAACAATTAAAATTTTTGAAAATTATGGTCAATGTATAATAAATACTAGATCCAATATTAAATCTTTTTTATATTTTTGTTAAACCATTTTTAAGGACTATTATTCTTACTACAAACATTTTAATAACTGATAAACTACCTACTAGTTAGAATTTTGAATTAGATACATCAACTTTTTCGATATAAATTATCCACCAAATAATTTACAGTTGAAAAACAGAAGTTTGTAGCGTAACAGGACATTCTATGAGTAGGTAAAGGTAATACAAAAAATCTCATGTATTTGGAAATATAATATTTAAGTAGATTTAAAAATTCCAAAACTGAACATTTTAATGATGTCTTTCTTAAAGGAAAAAATAGGGGGTGAGCATGCTTGGTCAATTACCCTGTATACAGTATACCTGGAGTCATATATGTATAACAGGCCACCGATTTATAAAGAACAAAAACCTATATATATATATCTACTACATAATACTCGAGTATTGCCGCATTAACATATTGCCTAACATAAATTCCTTTCATATTTTAATAACTATAATTAGGTATAGGAGTAAATTATATTATGTTAAGTCATTGTGAATAAAAATAATGTCAATAATATGTATTCTACATTAAAATCTAAACTTTCTTACTCATAACGGTCGTTGGCATTGTACTGTAATCTGTGTTTAAAGTGCCACCACATAGTCTGTCCACGCAAGTATTCATGCCAGACGCCACAGGCCCTTGTTTACTTGAAACGCATGGTATAATTAGGTAATCAGAATTACACGGACTTGATCCAACGCTACCCACATTCGCTTGAACCGGATTTTGACCCAACGTATTTCCCGTCAATGTGAACGCGTGGCTTCTGTTGTTCACTATAACGCGTTTTATATATTTTAGTTTCATATTTAGTTATTTCTCTATTTTTGTTTCTCAACCGGTGAACATAATATTATATTAATATTGTATATTTGTATGCGATACAATCGAAATGTTATCACTCACTTTGATCGTCGCAGGCTGAATACTGTACGGAACAGAAATTTCGCTCCGTTCTCAAACATATTGTATAATCCTGATTCGACAAATGAAGGCCTGATGAGGGTTCGTAATTGAACGACTTCAGCGTACCCGATACTCCGGTGTAATATTGCAAGCAACCAGTGTCGGCTAGAGTTGAAACATAAGACACAATATTATTGTAAATACTTAAACAAATCGGTATATAAATTACAGATATGATATATAGGTAGTAAGTAGGTAACTAGTACCTAGCCGGTACACTGGTACCTACGGTTTGGATATATAGTTTAAAAAGTCATGTCTTAGAATGTTAAGTTTTATAACAATTTGACAGTTTTTTTTTTTTCAAAAACTAGTTATTAGATCATAAATGTATTAATCATTAATACGATATAATGCTCAATAGAGTGAGAAAGACTGAATAATGAAACCCAAAATAAAATATAAGAAAAACGATTCTGAGCTAAAACGGTCAGTCAGCCTATGATATTACTAAGTATATTTGATGATATTATTGTGAATAAAGTAAAATATATATTTACCTATTAACGTGGAACCTTGCCTTAAATTTTCAATCCTTAGCTATAAAAGTTGAGTATTTTATAAATTTTTAACTACAAATTAATTATTAAATTTTAAATTTGATACATTTTGTCATAATTTGAACTTGGATGTTTATAAAAAAAAATTGCGCCTATGTATTTTTAATATGTCACAATTTCATGTATATACGTTCATTTGTCTTAGAGTTACACCAAAAACCAAAATCGATTTTGTGGAAAACCGATTTTGTGTAGAAATTCCAGTTTCCCCTTAATTTTTATATTGTTTTTCCCGGTGCTTTTGAAAACTATTAGGAATTTTAAATTTTGACCTCCCCAATGCATCAACAATATTCACTGTCCCATTAAACAAGGTACTGAAGTTGAAAATTGAAGCATTATTTCGACTACTTATCGTATACACAGACACAAAAACAAGAAATGAAATAAAAAACACACATCATTGTAAAATCAATACATTCATCGTTTCACTCAGAATCTAAAATTATTAAATATTTGTAAATTAAAGATATAAAATCCTAATATTATTATACATTTTTACATAATTATAATATAGGTAGGTAAATTAATTTATGAGATTTGGTAAGCTTAAGTATTGAAAAATACCTAATTATTTAAATTATTACACAATTGATTTGAAAATATTTGCAATTTATTGTTGTTGATTAAAATTAGTATAGTTGCATGTACTCGTGTCATATTAAAAATTGTTTTAATATAATATATTTTATACCTGCTTAACTTTTTTATTAATAGGGTTTATTTATTTAAAATTTAAGAGTACATCATATAATTTCATATTTGTTTTAAGTTTTGAGTAAAAACTTCGATCGCGGTGACAACATAATGTTTGTAACTAACCTTTTGTAATAGAGTCGCAAGGTATCTGGCTAACTTTTATCTTCCAGTTTCTTTTTAAAAATATGCCACTTGTAACCATTGTTAATATAATTGGACTTGTCCCCGTGCCAGCATCCACGTACACTATAGTTATCAAGACATAAATACATTTTATTGCCAGTGTTTATCTGTACATGTGTTCATAAAATCCATCATTTTTCAGACTGATTAATATTGTATATTATATAGTTATAAGAAAAAATTAATTTAAATAAATTCAGAATAAAAAAAGGTAAAATGTCTTCTGTAATATTGCGTTGTGCTATATATATACGTACTATGGCTACCGGTGTTCAATCCGCAGATAACAGGTACGGGATTCGAACCAGAAACGATGAACTGGTCATTGTCGCATTGGTGGTTGACTGGCTCGGGCCCCGTAATAGAAAAACGTTCAAAATCCAATCTAAAAAATATATTCGATATAATGACCAATACGATGGCTCTTAATATATTATGTACATAGTACACTATGGTACATCGTATAATTTCTATATTTTTGTTCGTGTTCTATACATACCTGAACTGACAAATATACGGAGATAACTTGTGTATGGTTACTTGACACGTCCCTGTATTATTTAAGCCTTCTGGATATCCTGCATTCACAAAATATGTGCCGTTTTCTCGGATGGTCTGGCCACATGTAGATAAAGCTAGATGTGTATATAATTTATATAGTACAATTATCCTTTTTATAATATTATATAATATATAAGTATATAACAATAAACGTAAATGTCGAATGATTGTAGATAGGTTATTGGATATGGTATTGTGGGGTACTGTGGTAGTGCGGTGTAATAATAATCACCTCAAGCAGAATCTTACATTCCTAATTTAACGAGTTGTGTACTTTATTATTCAGCAAAGCTGGGCAAGTTGGTAATTTTTTCAACTACTTTAACATGACAACTTACGTATTAATCTTATTGTTTAAAAAACCTGGATTCACCCATACCCATAACGGCCATAACCCATTCACGTTTGCCTCATTGGATTCGATAATTAAATAGAGTAAACTATTTGGTCTTTGGTAGATATTAATTCTTCAATTTCTGTCGGGCGGGTAGAGGCAAAATCCTACTTGATGCAAGACATAAGAATTACGTTCAATCTAATAATAGTTATAGTGATATCGATATTAAAGTACATGGAGTTAAAAATTCCCAGGGGTCGATGGCCCCTTTGCCCCACCTCATGCTGGCGCCTTTGTGTACAGGCGGTAAATTTCGTTTTGTTCTATATAATGTAAATTCAAGATTTTACTTATCGGTGGTGCCTCAATGGTAACGGAAGATAACTATTGATATAGCCGTATATATATAGGTATATATTAGTCTAAAATATTTGATCTTACACAGACAGCAAACGCCATACGAATTAGCGCATGATCCAATGGGCACTCCTCGGTGTTGATAGCATTCAGTAGATGTCATGCAGATACCACTGTCTCCGGATGACGAGTAACATGGTTCGTTGTCAAATTTGACGATTGTGAATAGCGAGAGCACTATAATAAACAACAATCGACAATTTAGAAGTGACAATACTACAATTTCGTCTGGTTTCAAACGAAACGCATACAACACAATATTATTTTGTAGAATCAGGGGTGTATTGGACCGGTTTATAGGTACTCATAAGGTCATAAAAATATTGACAAAGAAATTCGTGTACGTAAAAAAACATAGGTATTCATTTTTTGAGTATACGGTGGATACCATAGGGTGAATGCCACTGAATGGTAGGCAATGAGTATATTATTTTATTAGTAATTGTTTTATTCAGTTTTAAATTGTATTTTTTCTCTTAAAATTCTGAAGTGATTACCGGTGACCCTTCAAGGCCACATCACCACCACACCATAGCAATGGCGCAATTTCAGTTTTTATTTATTAAACTTGAGCAACTTTTCACTGCTTTCCTAACTCAAATTTTTTTTCACTCAGATTCTCATAGTATAGTACCATAGTGGTTACGGTGGGGTGGTAAATGTGCCGACTTAAGGTTGATGTAAATACTAGACTAGGGAAAATGCCCCAAGTTGACCCCCCCCCAAATTACGCCACTGAACCATAGACTCGAAAACTATGAATAATATGGAATCATAAATATAGTTGATGTGTTGTTCAGATTATATAGTTGATGTGTTGTTTATATTATCTAACTATATTAAATGGATAGTTTCTATTTTTTTTTTTTTTTTTATGACCTGTGGTTTGAGAACTAAAGAGTACCTATGCACCAAAAGTGCCTATACGTTTTTAACTAATTTCTTAGTGCAGGCCGCAGGGAGAACATTTTGTTCGAGATATATTTTTGGAAAATATGGTGAATACTCAAAACATTATTTACCAATACATCCCTGCAATATAATATTATAATGTAGGTAAACTGATAACTTACGTCGACTTTGTTTTTTTAAACTGGACTGCCGTTTTGTTCCTGGTCTTAAAGGACGGTTACCTTTAATGATGTCAACCGCCCTATCGTTAATTGTCTAAAATAGAATACATAATGTTTAATTTCTCCATAATAAAACAATAAGAATAAACTTTAAAAAATCGGCCAACGTACGGTTAATTCCTAACCCCTTAGAATAAAACTTTATCAATCGGATACCGAAATATTTGTATAGATAATGGGAAGCGGTAGCGTAATATCATAAAAATATAGTTGTGGGCGGCACTGGCATAATGTCTATACAGTATTAATTATTTAAAATATTATGTGTTCTGTAATAAATTTTAATTCACAAAATAGCCGTTTAAAATATAAGTGGTTTAAAATAGATATATAATTTTTAATATAGATATGGATATTCGTTGAAAATAATTCATGGCAAAAATTCGTTAAAATATAGGTATAATAATAGTACCTATTGAAGGTAGGTATAGTATGGGACTAAAGAAATAAGTTCCCCACAGTTCTCAGAGTAATATTATCTAGAACGTACCACTAAAAAACATCCCAACTTATACGCTACTAATTCGGGGTATATTCTAATATGTATATATCTTATAAATATGTAGTAATGTAGTATCTATATATATAGCAGGGGCTGTCAATTTTTTTTTTATTAAGATCTACTGATAGTAGCTGGTATAGTGGTAGGTCTATGTTTTATTTTAGGATTGACTAATGTACAATATTAATATATTATATTAACAGTAAACATACTTATATAAATAATAAAAGAAAAGTGTAAAGTTATCTAAAATGAGTATTTCAAATTAAATTTCTAAATAATTTTAAAATGTGGGTTTTAATTAATAATGTTAATGTAGAAGCGTGTCGTTGCATATCATGACCTGTATAATGGCCTTATAATCTCGGTAATATTCACTAACTTCTAAACGAAGACGCTGCTCTGAAATATCATCAGAAAGTATAGCTCGGTACCTATTCAGCGTTTATAACTTTCGTGTGAGAAAATGCCATTTCACACTAACAGGTTAATCCGAAATATGTATTTAATAACTGAATCTACTGAATGACAAATGTGTAACAATAATTAGTTAATTCTAGCAAAGGAGATCGACTTAGAAATCGTCCAAGATCGACCGTTTAGCCACCTCTGGGCCTATAGCATAAAGAACTAAAAACGATTGTTATCTATACTGGCACTTTTGATCTAGGTAGGTAATTAACTTATACTTTATGACTTATGATCTATTTAATGTAAGACACGCATTATTTTGGAAACTACTAACGTTTTTGTAAATATTTCTTTTACGTAATTGTAAATTGTTATAGAACAAAAAAAAATTATATTTTTTGCTATTTGTTATAGTTATAATTTTGAAGTTTTTTTTGAATGACAACACATATTTTTAAATATGCGTAGAAAGCCTATTCACTACCTAACCTAACATCGAATACTTTGATGTATAATGTTTATACTATATATACTATAATATATAGTGATTAATAATTGAATTTCCGACAAATAGTTTCTTAGTTAAATTATTTAAAATGTTGATAAATGGAGAAGTGAACCAACATTTTGCGGGGTACCTACCCTTGCACCACTATATAAGCTCCACTCACCTAGTCAAAACTTTAAGGCACCCGGTGCCAATGACATCTTGTGCACAAAAATACACTCTGAAAATAATGATCCTATCCTGTAAAATCAATATTCAAGTTTGATAAATTTTTTTTAACTAATAGAGGATAATATTTTACAGGCCGCAGTGATCTCCGTTTTTCAATATTTTAATCTCAAACTTTATATAACACATCTTTAATAATAATACAATTACAGAATTTTAAGCTTTTTTTCACAAATTATTCTGTATTATTATTTGTAATAAACTAAGAAAATCGAAGTTCAATGTGGCCTGTAGGAAGTAATCTTCTTTTGGATAAAAAAAATAGTTATCAAAATCCGATAATTCTACAAGGCCTGAGAATTTGGCATGTAAAGTAATTGTTGTTGAAATAATACTCCATATCAACCCCTCCCCTCCTAAATAGGAATAGGGCAATAGATTTAGATAAATGGAAAAGTATAATACTTAAGATGGCAACTAAAATATAATAGATAATTTTCAAATATTATAGAATATACTGAAAAATCAGTACCATACTTCTAAACACTATTATACGTATTATTATACTCATAAACTACCTACTCGTCTATAATTTGATTATTAGGTAAACACCAAAATATTTCAAATAATACTCTGCTTCAGAAAAGAAATTAAAAATGCATGTTGTCATAAAATAATTAAAAAAATAATAACGATAACAATAGTAAAATATTTATTTAAAAAAAAAAGTTGTTTATTGGTACATGCAAAATAATATTTTGTTGAAATAATGAGTGTCTTACGTTAAATGGATCACCCAGTAAAAGCTTTATTTTTAATAAAGTGCAAAATGAAATTTGATGTAATATTAAACCTTTTTTTATATTTAACCTAACCTAAAGATCGTAGTATAAATATTAATTACGAGTAGGTAGGTACTATTTCCATCTACTTACAGTATTTGAGTTTGTAGTATCAAATGAAAGATTCGAAGACGACACGACAATTGGTACTGCTAAACTTATTAAAATGAATAGTTTTAGTTTTGGTCTCATCACGCATTCAAAAAACGACATCGACATTTCTGAAGAAAATTGTATAGAAGTTTTCTGTATAGCTACCTTCCAAGACACATTTTACCGTCTCACAATTTGCGTATGCAATGTTTATACCTGAGCTCGTTATTTTTATACGAAAAACGAATTCTATAACACCATTGTTTCGTTATAAACAATAATAATTTTCATTTTTACTAAATGTACCTACTAAAACAACAATGAATGCAGACGAACTCGTTATGCACACATTAACATTGTAAGTCATTTAAATAACGTTCCAATGATTTCTTCTTTTATTTTTGAGACAATTTTCCGGTTGAAGATTTAACGGATGTTATTATTGTTATACAACTAGGTATTAAATTTTTTTAAATACTATGTAGTTTGTCACTATTTTAAAACTTATTAAAAATGTTACAAGTTTCTATAAATATGACAATATATACAGTATAGGTACACGCTGAAATTATATAGAAACGTTCATACAAAAATAATTTGAAATGTCCCATTAACGACTCATAATAATTATTTAAGTATACATTTTCCCATTTGGCTGTATGGGCCAAAAAAAAAATTCAAGACGATTGTAGGGTGGAACAGACCATCATTTTTAGGTAGGTACTATTATATCATGTAAAATAAGTATAGCTGCGATCTGCATTCAGCATAAATGCATAAAATTATCATACAAATAAAATATAATTCAATAGCATTCTCTACACGTTATCGATAAATTATACATTACTTATTATATCTATCTATAGATATAAAATACAACAAATGTTTGTTTCTACCTATGTCCATTTATGCATTCCTAAACCGTTCATCCGATTCCGATGAAATTTGGTGCAGAGGTAGATTTGACCTTGGGAAAGAAGATAGGCTACATTTTGTCGCGAAAAAGGTCAAGAAGAGGTCCGACCCGGGGAGGTCCTCAAACAGGGATTTTGAGAATATTATTATTATTTATAAATGGTTGCTATTGGTTTTAATAATAATTTATAAGCCTGTGTATTATATTGTACAGAATGTATCACGGTTTCACGGTTTCTGTGGACAATTTGTTTCCATTTTTGATACTTCAGAGTTAAATTATACACTTATGTACGCACTATGCGGTGTCCGCAAACTACCACAGGTAGATTGCTTACCTGATAATATACTGCTCGCATAATCACGGACAACGGCGGTCGGGATGGCTATAAATTAAAATATAATATCATTTACACTTAAAAAGAAATTACTTTCACAGCGTGTTACAGCCAAAAGGAGTTGAACAATCACAAAAACCTAGCAGTAGCAAAGCATTGTCGTGTCAGCTAGTAATAGATATACGAGTATAGCTGCAATCTGCATTCTGCTTTGCTAACTACGCATAATATTTTTTCAAATTATTTTGAGTTAAGAATTCGTAAAAATTTTTCTTCTTAAATCTAAGGTTTGAAAATGTAATACAAGATTCCTTATAAGATTATCTACCTTTATCAAAAAAAAAAAAATGGGTACAAGAAAGTCAAATTAAATTTTTATGATCGTTTGAAATTAAAATTTTTACAACATTGGATATTCACTCGATTTCTCATGTAACGATTTCCTTATTTTGTTGTAATTCAAAAACGAATAACTGTAGATACATGAAAATTTCACTGAATGTTTATAGTAGCAGTTCCTATATACCATACAACTTTGAAAATATTTTGACTCTTTTTGAGCTATTTACGGACATTTACGCTTTCAATTTTTTTTAGTTTTTTTTTCTATAAATATCAATAGTTTTATCTGTTGGGCCAAAGAGTGTAAAAATTTAATACAAGGCTCCTGATATATTGTTACAATATCAGTTGAAAAATATTAAAAAGACATTGGCACAGTTTTTTTTTATAAGCATTTAAAGATAGAATTTTGACAAAATTTATCAAAATCTCGAAAATTATCAATCATTGTAATTAATAAATTATAAAATGTTCAGTTTTTATAGCTAAGGATTGCAAATTTAAAACAAAGGTTCTCATAAATAGTTCATACTGTAACCAAAAAATCTAAAAATATATGAACACAGTTATTTTTAACAGACATTTTAAATTCAAATTTGGACGAAATTACATATTAAAAAACCTAGAATAACTATTTTAGTTATTTTGTTGTGATTGAATAATGTTATTCGTGAGTACTTGAAACTTCTAAAGTGTACTATTGTATATCTATGATAGTATCACGGTTTTTGTTGATGTATAACGCGTTATAAGTACCTAATGGATATTGTGATATGATTAATTTGTAATTTATTATAGGTACCTATTATAGGTCAAATTTTGGTTTAATACCATAGATATGTATATAATATGTCTTATACCTAGACTGAATGAAATTATTATGGCATAATATTATAATATAGACAATATTATTTGAATATTAGTCAGAATATTATAATATCAAACATTGCTTCTAAAAAAGATATTCTGGGCGGAAATGTTCATAAAAATTCCTATATTAGACATTCTAATAAAAACCGGTACTTACCTACTTACTTTTGTTTCTTCACCCGATTTATTTTTAATTTAAAGCTACCGAATAGATAAAAACTATATGATAACACAACTGTGATACATTTTGAAATTTAAGTGACAAGAACCATTTATACTTAGTAAACTTATGTAAATTGTCGTGGTTGTGGAAGGAGTAGGTTACAATAAATAATTATCAACATACGTATTCGTTTTTAAAACTTTTTAATAAAAGACATTCAGGTTATACAATAATTATAATAATATATATATATACTAATGTTAAATATAAATCAATTTAATTCGACGTTGTAAAAATTCTATGTCTCATCATCGTGTTATATGTTGAATACAATGCTCCGACGGTGTATATAATTCCGATTATTAAACAACCTCCGCCATATACGTAAAACTAGAAAATTAAAAAGTATTCTTTATACGGCGGGTTATACACAATATGCAAAACTAATATTTACAAAATTTGTAATAATTAGGCAAATTAATATATAAATTTATTTTCTATTAATGGTATAACTGTGAACAGTAGTATAATTTAAATAATGTAAATATTGGGGGGCAGAGCACCCCACGGATTTGTGAGAGATTCATTATGGTAGCACCCCCAAGATTTGAACCCTAGTTGAGCCACTGTATATAGGTACTGTAATTTGACATGTATGACATCCAACGGTGATACTTTATAATTCGATTAGTCTAGATTTAATTTTTTTTTTGTCTTAAATGACTGGTTACTAGTGGTTAGTTAACATTTCTTGCACCACCTTCTTTAAGTCTTCGAACATTGTCAGCACCAACAGCGAACATAATAACGGAATTTTGATTGTTAGACACTTGATAGTTCGAGAGAGTAGCGTACTTAAACTGTATATTTAAATGAGTGTAAGAAGAAGGGGGTACAATAAATAAATTAATAAATTGGTTAACACCAGAGGCGTGCTCAGAAATGTTGAATGGGAGGGGGGGGGATAAAAAACTTTAGCAAATTCCCTGATCTAAAATTGAGAAATACAATAATCATAACTATATTGTAAGCAGGGGCGGAACTAGGGGGGTGAAGCCGGGGATTGATCCCCGGGCGTAAAATTTTAGTGGGCGTAATTTTTCTTTAGTTCTTTATTTATTGCTTGGTGATAGAAGTTAAGAAAACATTTTTATTTCACATTATTTGTTTATGATGTTGTAGTGATGTTGGAATTAATGAAAAAAAAAAAATAAAGTTAATAGTAAGATTATGAATAGATTCGTATTAGTATACTAAGTATATACTGGTATACTGGCATTAGCATAAATACTGCAAGCATATACAACTAATATACTATAATTATTAAGATTCTGAGTGAAAATGTAACTATACCTAGGCATTTATTGATGCTGTGTTTTCGTTAAAATTTCTGATACCTACACAATAACTGTTATAAGATTATCAATCAACGTACGATACGTATATTATATCTGTATATTAAAAATGATGTTAATATATCATAGTTTATAATATTATATATTATAATATTTACCAAGAAGTTATACATTTGTTTATGTTTAAAAAAAAAGATTTGATTTTAAATATTTACTTTTTCATTTTTTCTATTATAAATTGTTTAATTAAATACAATTTTTTACTGGTCTAAATTGTGTACCCTAATCAGAATAAAAGATTTTATATTTTACCATAAAAATCTATTATAATTGAAGGCTGAGGCCTGAGGCGCATAGAACCAAAACAGCAAAAGTGTTTACAATTTTTATACAGTATAGGTAGGTAATTAAAGTTTTGAATATTTTTCAACATTTATATATGTATAACTAATATTATTATTATTTCTAATAATAAATACAATTAAGTAACCAATACAGTATTTCCAGTAATTAAAAATGTATCAACAATATGTTGACTAAGTTTTTAAATTTAAAGTGTTTTTGGTGTGATAGTTTATTAGTATAAACTTGGTTACACCACAGTTCACAGAATATATTAATTATTATATATTATTATGTGTTTAAAAGTTAATAAGTATGTTTGTAATTTTAGTTCCAGTTATGATAAAACAATTGTAGGGAATGATATTGTATTTTCAATCTTGGTCTATGATTGGGCTTAATTTTAATATTTTCCCCGGGCGTAAAAATTCTTAGTTCCGCCTCTGATTGTAAGTACATACATATTATTCAAGTGTACTTAAGTGCCCCCCGGATAATTGGATTGTCATTGTTAATCTTTTTTTTCATATTAAGTTTTTCACTTACACAAAAAAATAAATGTAATATTTAGTTTTAGGTAGGAAGTAAAAGTAGTCAAAAATGGTTTTAATAATCCAAATAATTTCAACCAAGAACGATGAACAAAACAGCAAATTATTAAAGATAATTTGGTGTGCATTAATAGCAACTAAAATTTTGTATCAATTACGATAATAATATTAACAACTTTACCTGTGTTCTAATGTCTAACATGAGTCCCATCGGACTGTTTACAACCACTGTCAAAAACGTTTGCAGTAAGAGTGACATGAATGTGTTAACTCCAAATACCAATGCATAGCTATCCGCAGGTATATTTTTGGCTACTTCACAACTAAAACAAATAAATATTTCTCATGAGATGATTAACAAAAAACACGTTATTAGTTAAATAAATAATGAGCTTAAAATTAAATTTGAAAAATGTAAAAAAAATATATATTTTAAAGTATAAATTACTATTAAAATTATATTATATTAGTTTTCCTAAGTTAAAAATAAAGATTTGTATTTTTTTTTTTATAAAACATGCTGGTATATATATTGCAATATTTAAAACACAGAAGATAATTATTTATTTATAATTAAAATGCTTTATTTTAATACGTTGAATTTCATTATACTTACTTCGCTGCAGTGGCCATAATATGATAAAATGTTCCAAACATAATGTAGCCAACATATGCGTGTGATAATAATGTATCTTGAGCCATTATCAACAATAATATGCCTTGGCCTAAAGTTAAAATACCTACTAACCACCAACTTGGTATTGTAATGATACCGACCAAATAAACTCCCAGTGTACCTTCAAAAAAAATACATTGATACAATTAAACTAGGTACTCTTAAAGATTTTAATTTTTAAAAATGTATGTGACAATATTATAAGACTAATGCCTTTATAAAGATCTTGGCTATTAAAGTATTGATAAACAATTACATTAAATGGAACCATTGGCACAATTAGAAGGGCTTGGGGTGCTGAGTCATTTGGTGATTTTAGCCACCCAGATTTTAAAGTGATTTAAAAAAACAATTATCAATAACATATTTTTTTTATGACTGTCCTTTTAATTGTAATGTTTTACACAAATATATTGTTATGTCTGTCAAATTTTTGTAATTGGAAATGAAAGATACATTTACAAAAATTGGAATGTTATTGGCGGGAAAAAATGTATTATCCAGATTATGCCATCCAAAAATATATGACATATACTAGGATATAAAAAAACTGTATAGAATATTGATTACAAAACATATTATCATAATTTATTTCCACTATTAATAGGATGTTACACCTTCATCCTCATGTGTTGTCGCCGTCTTACAAATGTACAACTTAGCAATAACTGTTTTGCGAAGGTATAAGAACCGCTCAGGCTGTGGTCCAAGCTAAGCAACAAAATTTTCACACAACTTAGACTGCAGCCTGAGTTGTTCTTACCCGGACAAAACAGTTTTTGCTGTGTAGGTATTACATTTGTAAGACGGAGACAACACATGCGGGTCCCCTTAATAGTGGAAATAAATTATGATAGTATGTTGTATAATAAATATTCAATACAGGTTTTTATATCCTCTTAATGTTCACACATATTACTTAAAATACTGATCGATCATTTTCTGCAATGCGTAAGTAATTTGAACTTGGTTGAGTACTTAAAGTTTTAATTGTGTAATGTGTTACGCTTTATCATATTACAATAATAAATAAAGTACCCTAATTATAACCTATAACCTAATTCTAAAGACAGATTTAAATTTGACGTCATGTCTACTTTTTTTTTTTTTTTTTATTAAAATAAAGTATATTTACAATCTATACATAAGTGTATAATAAGTAAGTGTGGTGACAGAATAATAAGTAATATGTAAAAAAAAAAGTAACAAGAGAAGGAAGGCTCCCAGCAGTGCCACCTGACCAGAAATTAGGGTATGAGTTTATTTAATTAATGTTTTTTTTTTTTTTTAATTTTTTTTTTTTTTAGTAACGATAGAGGTAGATGATAAGCTTTTAATGATGGGGTTTGAATGAGCGCGGAGCGTTGAGTGGAATTTTGAATAATAGGATTTGGCTAGGTCGTTAAGGGTTGGCATGTTCAGGTCTTTATGGAGGTTTTTATTGATAACATACCAAGGGGCAGAGGTTCTTAGGCGTAGGCATATGGACTGGAATGCTTGGAGGGTTTTGGTGTTTGATGGTTTTGCTGGCCCCCATAGTTGGATGCCATAGAGCCAAGCTGGGCAGATTATCGATTTGTATATCGTAAGTTTGTTGGTTAAGGAAAGTTTTGATTTTAATAGGGGTCTCAAAAGATGAAGTCTGGAGTTCACTGATTTACGTTTTTGTTTAATATGCGAGCTCCAGTTGAGGCGTTTGTCGAATGTTAGCCCTAGGTATTTTACTTCGTCTGACGAAGGAATTACTAGGTTGTTAAATGTGACAGGAGGGCAAGCAAATTTGCGCAATGTAAAAGTTACATGAGTAGACTTCGTTTCATTTATTTTTATTTTCCACCGTTTTGTCCATAGATTTATCATATTAAGGTGACTTTGGATCATCCGACAAGCGGTTGCGGAATCCTGGTGTGATGCTGAAATTAGTGTGTCATCGGCATATGTTCCAAGAAAAGTAAAGGGTGTTTTGGGGATGTCGTGAGTGAACACGGAATATAGAAAAGGAGCGATATCACTACCTTGGGGGACACCTGCGCTAATGCGATGGCTGGTTGAGTAGCTATTTTTTAGACGAACCTTAAAGGAGCGATCAGATAGGTAGGATTTTATTAATAAAAAATAGGGTGCTGGGAGAAACTTCTTTAGTTTGTAGAGTAGCCCCTCATGCCAGACCCGGTCAAAAGCCTGTGAGACATCCAGAAACACAGCAGGACAGAATTCTTTCTTCTCCAGTGCGTAAGAGATTTTGTCGACAGTGCGATGAAGTTGGTGGATAGTTGAGTGATGAGCTCTAAAACCGAACTGAGTGTGTGGGATGATGTTAGCTTCGGTGGCAAGAGGGATGAGTCTTTTTAAGAGAATTTTTTCGAATATTTTTGAGAAAGTGGGGAGAAGACTTATCGGTCTGTATGATGCTGGGTTTTCGGGAGGTTTGTTTGGCTTGAGAATGAGTATTACGATGGAGTGCTTCCAGGAGTTTGGGAAGTAGGATAATCTGAGTATTGCATTGTAGAGGTGAGATAGGTACACTATGGCTTTACGTGGTAGGTTTTTTGCTATGTAATTCGTTATTAGGTCGTGTCCTGGGAATTTTTTGGTAGGAATATTTTTGATTATGGTGTTGATTTCATCGGGAGATGTAGGTTTGGCAGGCATGGACATTGGTAGAGGAGCATCAAGGTACTTTTCTATGATTTTTAGTTGGGTATGACTGGGTTGGATATCATGAGGAGAAAAAGAGTTTTCCAGGTGTTGAGCAAAGATATTTGCTTTGTCAGAGTCGGTAATAACTCATGAGTTGTCTTCATTTCTAAAAGGAGGGGCAGGTTGACTTAGGCGGAGTAGAGATTTGGTCGCTTTTCAAAGAGATGAATTTTTTGTGGTTAGTGATTCCACATAATTATTGTAGGATTGGTTCCTGTCGTGTTGGATAGCCTTTTTTATTTTGCTGTTCAATTTGTTAAGTTTGACCTTGTCGTTTGGGTATTTGAATGTTTGCCATTGGTTTCTTATTCTACCATGTCTACTTAAGATTGAATTTCCCACATTTTTTTGATTTTATCTCCCTAAATTCTTAAATTATATTTAAATTTTTGGAAAAAATAAAATTAACAATCTGGGCAAGTAGACTTGACGACAAATTCAAATCTGTTTTTAGAATTCTTACGCTTCACTTGATCAATCAGTACGTTGGAATGAAAACACATCTAAATTCCTATATTCCACGTGTGTTAGACAAAGACAGAAAATCTCCACTTCCAATCCCCTTAACATTATATGTATTTTGTAATATAATGTAATTTCAAAAAGCAATTTTTTTTTAATTTGAAAACACAAAAATATATTGGGCAGTTCTCAATAATCCTTTACCCCATCTCAAGATATGGCTATAGCTCGACCAAGATTTTAGACCTAGTTGCACCACAGAACAACACTATAATAAACTTAGTTTTTTTTAATTTGTCACTAAATTTCAAATTTTAATACCTATCAACAATTATTACAATCCTATTAAGAAAAAATAAATAAATAAATAATGAAAATAATTATATACGTACTTATTATTGTATAAATAGCTTCAACCATTCCATTATCGGTCACTTGCAAATCGGTGCCATTTTGGTATATTTCTTGCCATAATGATTGGGAATACGACATACACTATATAAATTAACAATGTTTAAAAATTAAAATGTAATATTTCAAATATTTTAGATAATAAATATGAAATAAAAAATAAACTCAATTAATATATATTATTATAAGCAATACATTTATATTTTCATTGATTGTACAATTTATAAATACATTTAGGAATAGCCTGTATTTTAAGATAGAAACATTTCATATTTTAGATTTAAACTTCAACTTATAAAATAACTTAAACTATGATGGTTATATTGTATAAAAAGTCATAACATTGTCAACTAGCTTCTTGATTGTAAATTAATATGAATATAATGAAAATATGACTTCTGATCAAATAACAGTACCTATAGCCTATAAATAGGTTCTTAAAAATACAAATTTGTGTATACTCTATTAATTTAATTTAACATTTGAATTTAATGAAGACTAAAATTTAGAAAAATTTGTTAGACTTACAGTTGAAATTAAAAAAGGCTGACATTTTTTTTTAAATTCTGATATGTAATCATTATTAACATACATTGTATTCTTTGTTTATTTAATTAATTCAATTTTTTAAGTTTTTCCTTTCTTAATATTCTAACTTTGAAGAGTATTTTCATATTTAAAAAACATTAACCTTCACTATAATGGTTTAATATTAGACCACACAACTAAATCAGTTTTTCAATTTTTGAATGACTTAATTTTTTTATTTAAAATTCTAGAAATATTTAAATAATCACCATAACCAACTACGTATATATATTATAAAATAATATACATAAAACATTTGTAACTTGCATCACTGAATAATATTATCTCTTTATTATTATCAATCTAATTTAATAGTATGCTATATTGCTACAAGTACTATAACAGTTAACTTATTCGTTTCGTGGACATTTATTCAAAATTATACTTAAGGACATATTTGCTCTCATACATTCAGTATATAGGTACTGGCTTTCTACAAAGAATTATTAAATATTGTATGACACCATGAGCTGCAGTTTAGCTTTTGGCCGAGTATCATATTATTATGTATTTTCACACGCACACAAGTATTTAATAAAATCATCATTATACAAATCTCCAATATTGATGTATATAATACACTATTATAGTATATATAGATATAAATTTGTATAAATATAAATAAATATAAATAACGATGTGAACAAAATATTAACATAATCGTTATTATTATTGATGATTTTTCAATTATAATTTGATTTTTTGTAAGTAGGTAATAAATTACCATAAATTATTCTAAACATCGAAAAATTCAAATTTAATTAGCAAGTGTTGTCAGATTCATACTATAAATACAATGTGTATCTGTAGCTAATACATACATTACACGTGAGTACGTTACTAAAATACCTATATGCACAAAGCAAAGGATACAAAATAGTCTCTGCCTCATGGCTACGGCCTACAATAGAACTATGTTATAGAATATAAAAATGTTTATTTTTTTTGTATTATTAGAGACAATTTGTCGTTGTGGCCATTGAGAGTTCCAACATATTATAATAAGTATTATAGTATTTCACGATACGTAGACCTGCTTACATTATATGAATTTAACTACCTATATCGCCAGATTTGATGATATTACTATTATTGTGTATCTTCTTTGTCAACTAAATAACACATACAATTTTAAGAGAAATAACAACAATTTATTGGGAATACAGTACGCAACATAATATTAAATATTTAAATGTATGGAATTTCTTTTTATTGTTAAAAAAATGTTATTGTTGTTTGAAAAGAAACCGGTCAATATTATTTTAAATCATACATGGTACAAATAATATGATTTTTTTTTTAAAGAAATTTTGGTTTTGCGAACTTAGTACATAGAAAATGTTTTCATCAACTTATAATATTTGAAACACAATCTATTCTTTGCATCCAAATTAAATATTTTTATTAATATGATATAAAAATATCTACTCAATAAAATTAACTATAGGTAAAGGTACGATAATGCAAATAATTAGTTTAATATCATAGCATGAACTTTTTATTTTTGAATAAATATACTAAAGAAACTCCCAGCTTTTAAACGTCAGCTGATTTATTAATTCAAAAAAAACATATAATGGAATATTTAGTATACCTACTATATATTTTTTTTAAATATATCTTATTAATTCTGATTTAAAATGTTGAAAAGTTAAAAGTGAAAAATAGGGGCAGACTAATGTGGTACACAAGTCGGAAACACCAGTTTCAGTTAATATATTACAAATTACCTTTTAAACTTTCATTTATCATTAATTTTTAAATCAATTCATTGTTATATTGTATTTAATGAAAGTGTATATTAATTAATAGCATCATATATTATATATATTTATGGTGGATATTTGAATTTAAATAAAGTTAACAAACCTATTTTGAAATTAGATTCTGATTATGAAACAGTCCGACCTGGCCCTTTTCATAGATCTACCCCAGGCAAAAATAGAAATAAGAAGAACATTAAATGAGCGTTTGAATCATATAGACGCTGTAATTACCATATGTATATCTGCTTTGTTGTAGATTTTACGAGACAATGTTTAACATGTGTATGAGAAAGTCATGATGAAACAGAGCATAAACCTATAGATCATAATCATAATATAATTTAAATTATTTTAACAACTAAACTATAAACAAAATTATTCCCAATAAAAAAATACGTCTTATTTCTTATAAATTATTCAATTTGATTATTACAAAATTAATCCGAACCTGATAATAAAAGCATGTGCCTAAAGCCCACCAGATGGACCACTGAAGAACATAACGGTTTGTGAAAGCCGTGATGAAGTCGGACCACAGTCTTTGACACACAGTTTTAGGTTTGGATACATTAACATCTATGAATTATATATATTTATATATTTATATATACACATAAGTATTATAAATGCAAAAGACGTATTTTAAGTACAAAGTTAAAGCTGTATGTAAAGTACACTGAAAAAAAATGTCAGATCACCATGTTAGTCAAACTCCACAACCCTTATCATTGATTTTTATTAATATTAGTATTTGTAAAAAAATTTAAATCTATACCTATATAAGTAAAATGTACAAAAATATTTATTTACTCAAAACATAATACAACTGTAATTAGAACACTGTATTTTTTCACTCTTCAGCTTTTATACATAAAATGAATAACTATATATTTTTATTTTATATTGAAAAAGCTATTTGATAGAAACAATTACAAACAATTAAAAAAATTACTTGTAATTATTTATACAAGTATAAATATAGATTATTATATTAGTTAGTAAGCAGGACAACTAGTCAGAAAAGATATTTTAAGTTGTAATAATCAGGATAATAATTTATTAGTACTATTTTACTACAATATTTTTTTTTTATTTTAAGTAAAAATATACAATCTATATCAGATGACATAATAAGTATATAAGATAAAAGACAGATAACATGAGTGTACAAAAAAGTGAGTTAAGAAGCCACCCAATAATAACACTTTATTGTTGATTTTTAAAAGTTATAAAATTAATTTACTCCTATAGATGTTTTATTTTTTAGAGTTAAAATTGTAAAAGTTCACTGCACCATTTACGTTTTAAAAATCTAGAAGAGCTGCCATTATAATATAGTCAATAATAATACATAGTGTTATACATTTATAAGATAATCATATAAAACACTATCATAAATCTTTTTTATAAGCAGCAGGCTTGGGACTTGTCTACTGCTGACTTTATGCTTCAGACTTTTTTTCTTAGAACTTTTTTACCGCGATTCCTTCCAAACCCGTTATCATGGACTTATTATCCTTAGTACACAACACCAATTTACGATTAAATCAATTTTGTTTTTCTGTTGTAATTAAAAAATGAAAAACCGTTAAGTTAATTTATACAAACATTTTTTTACAGTATAACATAACTTTGTATCCGCTCAGTATCATTTTTTGTATAGGTTCAATGATTTATCATTGAACTCAAATTAAACACATCATCAATAGTAATAAGTAATAATGATCAATGAATAAGTGATACTCAACAGTAATATACTGAAATACTGAATATTCTTACAACCTACAACCCAAAAGAGCGAGTTTCCTGTTTTATAAATACAAATTTATAGTGGAGACCAAACTATTTTTGTCATTTGTTTGAAATTAAGTTTTTAAAAATATATCGTCATAAACAATTTTTATAACATAGTCTTTAAAGAAAATTGTGAATTAATATTTTAATATTTTAACTAAACCTATACTTTGTTTACAATAAGACCGTGACCGGGCGGCCGAGTTGTACGCATGGGCGTGGCTTTGTTCCATGGCAGAGCCTGACGCGTCGCCGTAGTGGGGACGGCGTCTGACTGCCGCCCAACGAAAACTGGTAGCCGCCGGGTCACGGTCTTATTGTGAACAGAGTATAAATTATATTATAAATTATATTCAGTCATTACATGAATCTGATACACTTTATATTTTAAAGTATACGGTATACCTAGCTAACATCATGTATATTTATGAAATAAGTACCTACCTACATAACTTTAACACAAATTATTTGAATTACATTTTTATTATTATAGGTATTGATTTAAAACACACATGCATAGTTAATTTATGCAAAATATTAGTCAGAAACTACATTTGCTAGAAATTTATTCAAGCGTCAAGCCTACCACAAACATTTTGCAGCTTTACAATTATCACTTAATAATTAACCTAGAGTAAGTATCAAACATTACCTCAAACCACAGAACAATATGCTCAAACCAATCAAACAGTAGAATATTCTACAAAATATCTACCTTGGCTCAGGCACAGCTGCATCCGTCCCAGGCATGCGCACGGGGTGGATCAAGACCTCAAGCGGGTTTCTGAGGATGGCGCTACAGGTGGTGGTAAATTCTCTCGATTGTATGGTAAACTCTCCCGATTTTTAAAATTAGTAAACTCTATAGGGGCAATATAATGTTTACCTGAACAAAATATGTGAACTCTCCTGGTCAGTGTCGGCCAGGCAATAATTGGGACGCAAAAGAGGAAGGAACCGATTCTTTTTTTTTAGGGTCTTGTAAATTGTTTTATTTGCTTGGCGTGTTTCTGGTATATATAGTGAGTAGGGACTCCGTAAAGTATTTAACCTTAAGTAATTTTTGCCTACTAGATGCTTACCTATAATATAGTTTTGAGTACTGAGTAGGGTATAATAGTACAAGTGTCAAGTAACAAATAGGAGGAGGGTTTTTTGGATTAATTGAGCTACTGCAGCTAAAACCTAACTTATCTCTCTTCTGACTTTTCTTAAACACAATGGGCTTGAACGAGGCAACGAGAGCCCCGCTTGCCCGACTCTGCAGCGACCCCGATGTTGGATTCAGCGATCATACAAATATTGCATACTTTTGAAAGCTTACTTAAATAATATTATGTTTATAGATTATGAATTTTCCTTCAAAATAAAATTCTATAATAGAAATATAATTTTGTTTCTATAATCTGTGTAATTAAAAAATATAATAAATTTTTTGTAGTTTCAGATTTTTCAATAGTTTCATAGTTTATACGAATTATTTCCAGAGTCAGACTTCGCGGTTATATTATACAGGATGATTTTTTAAGCATGCTCACACTATTTGTATGTTTAAATCAGGGGTCAGCAAACTTTTTGGTGTCAAGGGCCAAAAAATTTAAAAAAAAAATTTTTTCAAGGGCCATAATTTTAAATGCAATTTATTTTATATAAACGAAATATTATAGTAATTCAAAATTTAATTTATTTACATCACCGTTTGATACATTAACTATCAAGGTATCTACAAACAAAGTTTTAATAATAATTAAACATCATAATAATAATAAAAAAATACATAGTAAAATATTTGTTTTAAATATGGTCAACATTTTTTTAGCAAAATATTTTATTTTGCTAAATTTTGTTTCACAGAGACTCTGAAATACTACACTCACACAGGTTCTGAAATAATTTAATTTTGAAGTCTTTTGAAGCGTTTTCCTAATTTTTATCAGATTAAGTGTTGTATAATATTTTTAAGCTAATTATAAATTATTATTGCAGGCCGCATAAAATCACCATGCGGCCCATGGTTTAAATTATACATACATTTAAATTCCGTATTTTGGAATTTTTAAATACACTTAAAGATTTTCGAATTCTTGATATTTTTTGTACTATTTAATGATGATGCTGTAATAATACAAACTTCTATTTTTCAAATAAGAATCCACCTTTTTTACTTTTAATTATTCAGCAGATATTATTTTTGAGAATTTTGATGTATCTAAACCAAAATTTGAACTAGTAGTTTTCGAGTTATATAACTTTGTGTACTAAGGATAATATGTATATAGAAATGGGTTAAGTAGATTTGAGGGCTTATATGATTTGAGAATGTTTATAATTATAAAAAGAAGAGCAAAAGTGTCAAACGTTCTATGTGCCAAAAAACTAATGATCTATGAATATAAAAAAATTTAAAAAATGATCTAAGTATACTGAATACTACATCTAATATTACATATATTTTATATTATTGTATATAACCATATTTAAGGATTACCTATTATCCTTAGTAAAAACATTTTAATAATTCAGCAACTAGTTATTAGCATTTTGATTAAAATACATTAACATTTTTAAGAAAATCACTTGCTAAATAATTTTCAGTAAAGTGGGGGGGTCATCATTTGAAAAATAGAAGTTTGTATTGCAACAAAACACTCCTTAATTAGTAGAAAAAATATCAGGAATTTTAAAATATGGTCTTTAGATATATACTTAAAATTCTAAAAATCAGAATTTGAATAAATTTATTTTTAAAGACAGAAAAGGTGATGATAGTTTTTTCAATAAAATGTTAAGTAAATTTTTTTGGGGCCCTTTAAAAAACAAATCCATGGCCGACACTGCTCCTGGTTCAACATAATGTTTCCTGAAGGCGCACACTGGAGGGTTCAGGGGTAGCAGTTGCTACCCCTGATTTTTAAGGTAGGTGGGTGAGTGGACCCCCTGGCTCCAAAATATTTACATCGTGAAAATTCTACTATGTATACAAATATTGGAAATAAACTATTGAATAAATACAGGCTATAGCCATTAGTCTATTAGCCAATATAGAGGTAACCGAATCAATTGGCTACCCCTATTTATTTTTGAATGTGCGCCACTGCGGCTGAAGGAAATGTGTAAACTCTCCCAAATTATTTTAAATGTTATTGCTACACTATGAATTGGCTATTTGATCACTATTCAGCGATTTTGAACCTCACGCAACTTGAATAGCTTTTAAGGATAATATGAGGTGCGTGTCCGAGTGGTTGTAGGTATCAGCAATTAAAACCAGGAGATAATCGTAGAATACCCTCTCATAAAGATCTTATCAACTATTCTTTTTTTATATAGTTCTCCATGTAAAAGGCAGAAGGAACGCAAGGCACGATAAATGATGTCAGCGCACTATTTGTTTTCTCTCTGGCCCACGCACAACATAGACAAAACACATTCACACAGATTCATTTTTTCTATATTTATAAGTAATCTTAGAGTAAAATCTCCTATTACAAAAAAGATAGGGAATAATATTTTTGAGGGAATAACATACCGATTTGTTTAAATATTATCTCAAAACAATTTAAACATAATTTAAATTTACAACCTTTTTTTTGATTATTTTGAAAGTTGAATAGTAAGTCAAATAACAATATAATATAAAATCAATAGGTCATTCCCTCAAAAATATTATTCTCTATCTTTTTTGTAATGGGTGATTTTACTCTAAGATTACTTAAAAAATAGAAAAAATGAATACGTTTTGTCTGTTACGCGTGGGTCAGAGAGAAGAAACAAATAGTGAGCTGATATCCTCTTAAGACTCTTTTAAGCCTTTTGCTGTAATTATTTAATGATTTTATAGGTTAACCAACCCTCCACTGTAAAGCATTGATATTGTGTATTGACCATATCACAAATAGATGGCCAAATTATATTTTATTATATAATAATAAATATGCACTACCTTCCTAGTACACAACACATTGTTTTAGATTTCAAGCAAAGCAAACTAGAAAGCTATTAGTTTTACAAATATTGTAGGCATATTCATTATTTTTTAATAATTAAAGGGCCCAAAAAGATTCAAATATTTTCAATCTCTATGAATCTTTATCTCAAAGGATTTAAATGTACTTAAATAATATTCTACTTGGAATGATCTAATATCTCAAAGCATTTGATTGAATCTTAAAAAAAAAACAACAAATTAAACAGCAAGCGTAAATATTCAATAACATACGACAATATTAAACTCAGTTTGGTATCAACTTTTAAATTGACAATAATTGTCACGTTTATGCACAACAAACGCACAAACATTATACAAAACAAAATGAGTAAAACACCATTCTACACTGAGTTAAGCAAAGTGAAACATAATCCCTAGATAGAGGAATGACTCACTTAAAAGCATTTTACATTTATTTTCTCATCTATGGTGTGGTATATTAGTATGGTATAATATACTGTATTGTAATGTATGTAATATATATAATGACATAATGTGCATGTATTACTATACTCCGGCCCACGAGAGATCAGTACTTCTATTCGACTAAAACTCGTCCGATTTCGAGCATCTTCCACTCAATCGCTCCCACTCAACCAACCACAGCGTTTCGGCGACTGTCGGTGTCGGTCGGCAATTGTGACGATTGCGGCATTCTGGCACATGTGGGGAAAATTGGGATCCGCACCGTCGCTGCCGGTCATTCTGCATGCGCGTGACAGTACTTATCTCTTGTGGACCGGAGTATAATTGTATACAGTGTGTCTACAATAACTGTAAACACTCAATTGTTCAGAGTAGAATTGTTCAATTTTAATAGGAGTCTTTATTTTTTTTTTATCATGAATCCAAATACCGTATCATAATTCATAGTACTCAACACTCATACTTTAGAAGTATAAAAAAATAAATAAATAAGTAAAAAAAATTAACGATGTGATTTCTATTTACAATTGAAAAGAAGAATGGACAACAGCGAAAAATGGAGAAAACCAGCAAACCAATCAGATGAATGATGTCAAGACAAAAAGAATATCAAAGATCAACAGACACAGGTAGGAATTACCAGCAAAATTAAAAATAGAAATTCATAACACATGACACAACCAATTACACAAACAGAAAAAGAAACTAACTACTCACTATACTTCTTTGAAATAATATAAAAATAAAACCATCAGACAATAAGATACTCAAATATTAAAATAATAACAGTCCTTAATATATTTTTATTGTTTATATGAATTTTTTCCAAATTTCAAAAGTGACAGCAACACAATTTAACCACATATTATAACTTTCTTAACCTACCTAATAGCTAACTCTTAGTATATTCCATAATAAAAAATATCTTATATTAAAAATATTTACTTATCATCAGGCAGGCACGAACTCGGGATTTTATTTGGAGGTGGCTTACAAATTGTCCTACTTCTCCTTACATACAAATACACAATTAAGACTAATTCGATTTTCATGGCATTGACGGTCAACAGTAATAAATAATAATAGTTATTATTATTGCTGATACTTATAATTCATCAAAGGCAACAGCCTACATCTGCCCAACCTAACTGCAAATATATAAAACTAAAAATAATTTTCATTGAAATAATTGATTGGCGATTGCCACAAACCTTCTCATGCATAACTATTTATCAGTATCGGTACTGGTTTGTTATAGCCCCATCGGGGCGAGTGAAAACTTTATAGTCACGCCTCTCAGGTTTGTTATTTCCTTGCCATCCATAGTAATAAATACATTGAATAAATATAAAATAATAAGTTTATTTAATATTAATAATATAATAATAAAAAAATTAAAATTAAAAAATGGAATAATAAAAATACATTGTATGAATATAAAATAATGACATAATGTTGAAAAATGTATAAAATGTATAAAATGTTTAGGCTTTCTGTGATTCCCAAAATCCTGCTACATCTTTTAAAATTGTTTCAAACGGATCACTATTATTTAGTTTTAATTGCCACATAAATTCCGCCATGTACGAGTCTAAAAAATTCCTATCTGTTCTTTTACATTTTTTGTTTCCCCATTTGGCCGCACCCCACATTTCCTCAATATTTTGTGTGTGACCTCCTGAGTTAGGATCCACAAAAATGTATCTATGATTAACTTGATTATGTTGAAATCCGTGTTGTTGCCAATTAGAATTTATTAGATTAATAAATATCAATAAATAAACTCAATATTTTATGTTTACACAATGTATTTATTACTATGGATGGCGGTGAGATAACAAACCTGAGTGGCAGGGGGTATAAAGTTTCTACTCGCCCCGGCAGGGACTTGGTCAAATCAGTATCTAACATGATAAGGAATTTTGGAGAAAAAAAAACATTGCAATTGTAATATATTTGTGATACAACAATAAACTATAATAATGTATAATCTAACATCAAAAATAATTAAGGGGGAGCAATCCCCGGTCTTGGGTGTACCACTGTCATCAGGTATAGTTTAGCTATAATTCATCTTAGATTAAAAATGTTATTGAATTATTTCAAAATTATTAATTGTTAAGCACTAATATTTACTTCAACTAGAAAACTATTAGAAAATGATGCATTATATTTATAATCAATAAGTCATGTACTACTGTATATTTTAAGCTTATGAAACAAACAATAAAATTAGCCAGACATATTATAAACATTATATTTTATCGAAGAACATGTGTCTTTTTACCTGTACTATTTCTTATGTATGTATGTTCAGGGCTTTGATGAAAATATAAGCTACTTTTAATTGAAGGTAATCCAAAAGCCCAAAATATTGATGCAGTTGCACCTGTAATTAAATAAAAATGTACAATTAATTCATTACAACCCTCTAAATAAGAACAAAATGTCGTACCAGCTAATGTCAAATGATTTAAATGCGGTACAGTTAATATATGGTTATCAATCAATGTTTGAGCAAGCAATGCCGATACAAGTCGGCCTATGAGACATGCCATTTTCATGTGGCTGGAAACAGTTTTATAATATTTTTTATCTACTTTTGAGTAAACGTATGTATAGTATGCAACTTCGCAGGCAGTCATTGTACCGTAAAATACTTCCATTATCTACATAAAACAACAGTTATATTAGAAATACTATTTTATCTATTAATTGACGATAAAATAAAATAAATGGAATAAGTAAGCTAGAGATTTTAAATTATAATTTATGTTTTCTAATAAAATGTATGTAATATATATTTATATTACAAAATTGTATGATTAAGAGGACGTCATTTATTTATTTGTTTTCTATTTTCTATCTATTCTAGTGGTAGGCATATTCGGATTTCAAAAATCAGAATTATTCGGAGTTGTTAAATCCGGATTTCAAGGACTTATCCAAATATGCTGATCATTGACTCACTTTTATATTTTAATAACTTTAATTTTATAACATATTTCCATTACAATAAAATAAAACAATTTATTTTATGATATATTAAAAACAATTATAAATCACATAAGAACCAAATCCATGAACCCTGATAAATCGGAAAATCTAGATAAGAATTTGATTCCAATTCGGATTTAGATATCCGGATATTTTCTGATTTCATGCCCACCATTACTGTATTCACCTTATTAATGGATAGCCGTGGATAGCATAGACAATTTTATATTCATAAGAATCCATTTTACCAAATTTAAAGGTGTGAATATTATGTAGTACTCCAAGTAAAAATCTTATACTTTAAATTTGGGGCTAGCTATAATCGATAAATTAATAAATTGATTTTAAAATTTAAAATTGGTTGTAATTTTAAAATTAAAATATCAAAAAAAAATAAAAGTGGGAATGGATAGTACCATGTGGTTACATCGTTCTCTTGAGGAGAAAAGGTATATATATTTTATCTTTTAATGTCCACGATAGCTTATAATTAAAGTTAGGTTAAATACTTCAATAAGAGTAAAAATAAAATTGTAATGTCTATATAATAAGTTACATATTTACTACAAATTACTTTAAAATAATTATTAGATATTTGCAAGTATAAATATAAGTATAATAATAGTAATAGATAATAAGTATTCTAATAACAGCATATAATTTACCTATATAAATACCTAAATTAATTAAAACCCTATATACAATTAAGACATTTCAGCAGCCTTTTCAACAGTAGGAAATGTAATGTAATTATTACATTTTTAAATAATTATTTAATGACTTACCCACCTTCATGTCAGTCTTTGTTCGAGTAAAAATCAAAAATATTTGTACAGTAAAACTTGATAAAGCATTCAGAATAACAATTGGTTTGTAACGTAAATAATCAGTAACCAAAAACATAACAATTGTTAAGCCAAGACAAGTATAAGTTGACACTGGAAATATTTCTTGAATTACCTAGTCAAAATATAATTAGAAACATCCAATTTGGTGATGAATAAATAAGACTTACTTTAAATATTTTTATATTAAAATACACTCACTTCTTGATTTGTAAAATTCATTGGTGGATTTGTCAAGTATTGAGTGATGTAAGGATCTTCAGGTCGAAATTCTTTCAAAAATCCAAACACAGCAATCCATATAGATTGAATCAACCATTTCTCCATTTTAAAAAATATTTTTGAATTGGTCTATTAGCACATATTTGTATAGTTGTTCAGCAGACTGCTGTTAAGAATCACATAAAGCATTCAATTGTACATGTATGTATACAATACTTGTAGTACTTAAACTTGTATGAAAAATGTAAGACACGTTACACCATAGTGTATTATTTAAATCCATAATATTAACTCGAGTAGGTACCTATTTAAGATAAGATAAATAAATAAATACATAAATAGAAATAGAATATTATTAAATTAATGGTACATCTGTTGACTATTTGTAAATTATTAAAAAATTGTGCATTGATAAAAACTACACTTTTTTTTAAATCAGATTACTTACTTTTCTCATAGCTTTATCTAAACATGACCTCGAATACCGATAATCGATCATATATAATATTAACTAAACGCGGATAAAGCTATTAAGCATAATTATTATCTACCGGATTACCAGGTATACTTGATACATCACAAACAACAGAGTACAGACACAGAAGTATAGATTTAATCTGTGATATAAATATAATATTAACTATTAAGCACTTTCGTAGTTTCGTTATTTCATCGTCTTTCGTAATTTTGTTACAATCAATTAATAAACGTGATCATGTTATGCTTATGACAACGGTTGTAAATAGTAAATACTTGTAATTCTTTCGATAAATGATAACCAGCAACCATAAAAGTATGATGATGTAACAAATAATAATTATTCGTAATATCTTATCTATAAACTGCGAGCAAACAGATAACCGTGGTGTCCACTATGATAGTATGAATGATGGATAATTAATATTATAGGGAAAAATAAATACGGCAAGGTGGATTGATATAATAATACATATAAAGGAGGGTTTCCAGACATGTTTCCACTATACACTTTTGCCGTGTACACGAAAAATGTTCAGCGAAGTCCAACAACACAGTATCGTGGGTTAACCGTGTGGTAATTTAACATAACCGACCAATCACAGCAAAGGATTTGTATGCACGTGAACGTGTACGTGTGGAAACTATAGACCTACAGGCTACAAGACTGCAAGGGCCGTACATTTTCGGCCCGGTCCGGTCCATCAATTTTATCCTCAGGCACGGCTCGGCCCGGTCCAAAAAAAATTGTGAAAAAAAGCCCTGGCCCGGTCCGAAAATAATGCCAAGCTCGTAAAAAGCCCGGTCTGGTCCATCAATTTTATCCTCAAGCCCGACCCGGTCTGGTCCAAAAAATATTGTGAAAAAAAAATATAATATTATTATGGTATATGGTATAGCTTTATTATACCCACCAATCAATATATTATTATATTCATTGTGATTGTATCTACTATCCATATAGAGTATACTCTATATTATGTAGGTATCTATATTCTGTACCAACGTCGGTTTTTATCATTATTATTTATTATTTTAAATTGTGATTATTTATTGTCGAAGACAAATCCTTAAGGCGGCTCTTAGTGGCTATTATTTAAGGGGAACAATTTAGGCAATTTCTAATCTTGTCGTCGCCGCCCGTAATCTATGTGTTACGCCGTGTCCTAGGTGAATCCGACAAATGCGATAATCGTTATACGACGCGACCGATGCGAATCGCGTTGCCGTCCGTCAATGCGATTGTCGCGGTGGTGTCCTATGTAAATACGACGAATACGATAATATTGCAGGGGATCGCACTTCTAGTGGCATATGCAGCAGTGCAGTAACGCCAAACGGTCGTGTCCTAATATACTTAAGTTCTAAAATCCTAAAGTTGTATTATTAATATATATACATTATACCTACATATACAGACTACAGTGTTGGTTAAATATGTCTCTGCCATTAAGTTTATTAAATAAAATGGTTCTAACTGAAAATACAGCACTTAAGTATTTATTATATAGAAGGTATGTAATAAATTGTAATAAAAATGTATAGTAGGTAAATGTGAAATTATTAACATTTATATGTTCAGGTATAAAAAAATGAAAAGATCGTTTCATACCAATTCAGACATTTTAAAAGATCGTTTAGTTTTTGGAAAGTTTTACCATTTATATAATCAACTCCGGAATAATGACGTTTTGTTTCGATCGTATACCAGGATGACCGTTGAAACATTTGACTACTTAGTAGAAATGATAAGACCAGAATTTGGCCTTAAATATACAAATTTTCAAGATCCTATACCAATCGAAGAAAGATTAGTTGTAACGATCAGGTAAGTAAATAATGCCATTTTTAATTTAATTACAAGTTTATTAACCTATATATTAAAAAAACAAAAACTTAATATAGGTATATAATAGAAATAGTTAATAAACAATATGATTGTCAAATATGTAAAGTTAAACAAATAATAATAATTCAGTGTACCTTCACTGAGAATTATAATAATAATAAAACAAATTCTTAAAAAAATACTTTTCCCTTCAATTACAAATAAAAAAAACGAATAGGTAGGTTTGTAGGTATTTGCAGATGACTTTTCTACTTTTTTAAATAAAATAAAATGTAACAAATGTAAATTGAATTTTTATTGAACATTAGATGAGTGAATGTAATGATAACCTGGTTCTTGTGAAGTATATTGCTGAGCGTTGTATGATGAAACTGATAGTTGAGGATCTGGAGTAGATTCTGCGATGTATGGTGGTATATTTGAAACATTTAATACCTGTTCTCGAATCGGAGATAGTTCTTCTATTAAAATATTTTGAAACTTATTTCTAACTCGAAGCTTTTGGATTGGATCTAATTTTTTAAAATATGGAATTAGAGACTGAAAAAATGACATATCTTCATCGATTTCTGAAGTGGTTACATTATTGTTATAAGACTGCTTTAAAAATGTCACTTTTTGACTCTCAATGTTCAGTAAATCTTCTAAATATTTATCTTCATTTTTTTTTTCTTGCGAGGTAGTGTGTGATCAGAATTGCTAGATAAGTTTGTTGTTGACATTGATATTGATGGTGTACTGCATGATTCAAATATTGGAATACATTCAATTCTTTGCCTAGTTTCTGTTTCAGTTTCCGACACATTAAATATATTCATAGTATTTGAGTCATCGTTATCAATATGGTCTATATCATTATCATGGCCACCATCAGTGTCAGGACATTCTTGAAGTGAATCTTCTTCGCCTGAAATATTACCATCTGAAATTCTCGGATTAGTTGTGTCTTTTAAAAACATCATCAATTTATAATGGGACCATTTTCCTAAATACACCTCAGCGCCTTCTTGTGAATCTCCGGAACGACTTTTTTTAACTTTTTTCTTTTCCCTCAAAAATGTGTCCCGTAAACCTCTCCATTTTTTTTTCACGTCTTCCTCTAAATTTTAAATTATTTATAAAATTAATAAACTAACGCGAAGTAAAAGCAATGAAAAAAAAGGTGGGTAAGTGGATGTCGCTCAGCTGTACAGTAGGTTACAAGTGGGTCAATTTAATGGATGGTGTTAAATTTGAATTCAATGATATAATATCATTGTATAAGAAAAACGATTCTGAGCGAAAACGGTCAGTCAGCTTATGATATTACCAAGTATATTTGATGATATTATTGTGAATAAAGTAATTTATATATAACCTATTTACGTGGAACCTTGTTTTAAATTTTCACGCATTTTTACCCAACAAATAAAATTTTATTGATATTTATAGATAAAAAAACTAAAAATAATTGAAAACTGATAATGTCCGTAAACAGCTCAAAAAGAGTCAAATCATTTTCAAAATTTTATCGTGTATAGAAAATACTAATACAAACATTCAGTGAAATTTTCAAGTATCTACAGTCATTCATTTTTTAATTACAACAAAAACAAAAATCAATTTTGTTAAAAATCGATTTTGCGTAAAAATTCCCGTTTTTCCTTAATTTTTCTTTTGTTTTTCACGTCGCTTTTGAAAACTACTGGGAAATGTTTATTTTTGACCCACCAAAGTACCAACTAGATTCACTTTCCTATCATAAAAATTACTGTTGAAGAAAATCCAAACATTTTTACTGTCCTGCATATATATAAAATATATATACATATTATATTGATTATTTCAAACTTTATTTTCTATATATGTAGTTTTTTACTTTATATGAATTTTTTTCAATTAATTAATTTATTAAAGTTTAATTAATAGCTAATTAATTCTAATTAAAATAGAATTTTTATTTTTATTTGAAACCTTGAAACTGTACATTAATAATGTCCTGGTTTTGAAATGTATCGGATCATTAAAATATTATTAAAAATAAAGGTATTCTAAAAAATAATACTTATTTTATTATTTTTATGTAGATACTTGGCCACAGGATTAGCATTTCGACAGTTAGCGCTAACATTTCGAATTTCAAAGACTGTTGTATCAAATATAGTCATCGAAGTATGTATCGCTATTTGGAATGCATTAAAAAAAAAACATATGCCTACTCCTACAGTTGATGATTTTAAAAGTGTCGCTAATGAATTTTTCACACAATGGAATTTTCCAAATTGCGTTGGAAGTGTTGACGGGAAACATATTAGAATAAAATGCCCTCACAATTCTGGTAGTATGTTTTATAATTACAAACAGTATTTTTCAATTGTTTTAATGGCTGTCGCCGACGCCAATTCTAAATTTTTAATGATCGACGTTGGTTCATTCGGCAAAGATAGTGATGGCAGTGTTTTGTGTAATACATCGTTTTATAAACGTCTTGAAAATGGTACTCTTAAGCTACCGAGTCCATGTAATTTACCGAATTCAAATCAGAAAGTTCCATATGTATTTATTATAGACGAAGCTTTTCCGTTGAGAAATAATATTATGAGACCGTTTCCAAGAAAGCAGTTGGACGACCACAAATCATATTATAATTATCGACTTTCAAGAGCAAGGATGACGGTCGAATGTGCTTTTGGTATTGCATCTTCAAAATTTAGAATTCTTCTTAAAGCAATAGAAACTAAAGTCGAAAATGCAGATCACATCGTTAAAGCCATTTGCATATTACACAATGTGATAATTGATAAAGAGAAAGAAATATCGCCATGTCAAAATCACCTGTCAGACTATTTGAATAAAAATGTACGTGAAAAAAACAATGCTATGTTGGGACTTCATGGGGGTAGATCCAATAACCGTGCTTCGCGTTCTGCAATTGATGTAAGAAACACGTTTGTAGATTTTTTTAAAATGAATAAATTAGCGTAAAAATAAGTGTTTATAATAATTGCAAGGTATGTAACTTATTATTTATATTAGTTTATTTTATTATTATATAAGTAGAATTTTGCATAGAATTTCTATCAATTTCGTCATATCTTATCTTAAAGTTTTAATTGATAAGTATTTTATATTTAAGATTATTTTTCTTAAACAAATATAATATTTGTATAAGTTAATAGTACTTTTTATTTTATATATTCTAGCCTCTATGTATCTAAGTATTTAATATAATGTGGTCAATCAAATAGGTATATTAAATTTACAATACGTACTTGTCATTTTTGTTATTTTAGCTACTTCATCCCATGCCTTGTCAGAAACTACCCTGTCTTTATATTTTTTGTCCCATTTATTCCATAGAACTTTTCTTTTTTGTACTTCTGAAATTAATAACTCCATGGATACGAATGAATCGCACGACGCAACGACCAAAAACAAACTATTTTGTTTTTCAATTCGTACGACTAAACGCATACGAAAAATCGGACGCATCGGTCGTATTTGTCGTGTCACGTAGGCCACTTCCGTTTGTTTGGGTTATTTTGTTTATTTTAAGAATCGCATCGGTCGCGTCGTATAACGATTATCGCATTTGTCGGATTCACCTAGGACACGGCGTTAGTCGTAAATGTTTATTAGTGTGAAATTCGAAGAAATTCGAACTCGATAACAATAGATTTTATATCGCCCGGCTGCGGGCACACGGTTCAATAGCACACGTACGCGCATGCACAAGTCAACGTAATCACTCTTGAAAAATATTTTTGTACACTCACAACAGTGAAAAATGCTAATAAGCTGGCGAAAAATACACATACTTCTAGTAGTCCAATTTAAATTTTGAAAAATTATTTGAATTCGTCAGCCTCTTTTCTATGATTTGTAGGAAACCGATTTTGGATATTTTAGATAATTTACGTATATTACGGTTCCAAATGACTGCTTGATTTCTCAAATTTAACTTGTACTTTTAAGTACTAACTAGACAAAAATATGAAAAAGTTTTTCCTACAGATCATAGAAAAGAGGCTAACGAATCCAAATAAGTATTCAAAATTGAAATTGGACTACTAGAAGTATGTGTATTTTTCGCCAGCTTATTGGTCTAAATGCATGAAAAATCCAATCGTTTAGAGCCGCCTTAAAAAGCCCGGTCCAACCCTTGATTTATTATTCGAAGTCCAGCCCGAATAATTGCACAAAAAAAAACCCAGGCCCGGTCCGGAATAAAATTCCAAGACTTAAAAAGCCCGGTCCAACCCTTTATTTTATTTCATAGGCACGGCCTGGTCCAATGTCACTAAGGGCCCGGCTTTTTAAGGACCGGGTTAGGCCTGCCCGGCCCTTGCAGGTCTTTAGTGGAAACCCGTCTTAAGGCATAAACTAGTTTATAATACATTTATATAAATATAGATAGGTAGTAATTAAAATGATAATTTTATCATGGTAAATACTAAATGGTCGGTTTTTATTTTGTTCAAGCCGTGCTCTCGGTACTCGGTAGTACCTACCAGTAGTACGGTACGATACTACGCCACAAGGTCCAAGGTGGTATCAATCATGAACTAAGTTCATGGTAGAAATATAATAGCTAATCACGGTCTTATCTCAGTGGTATACCCAGCATCCGTAACAAAAAGCCTTGATATTATGTAGTTGACAGTTGTTCATGGCATTCATGATGGTCATAGATCACAGACACATAGACAATAATATGTCTATATTTATACATATATTTATCTATATTCTATGATCACAGATTTCTATATATAATATATATATATATATATATATATATATATTTCTATTCTGTATATTTCATAAAAATGATATTCTTAAATCTCAGGGCCAGTTTTACAATAGAACAATGTTGTACCGGTCTACGGTTAAACTTCGATTAAGCTTATTCAGCTGATAACAGATATTTAACCGGGGAAATTCGGCCAGTTAACCCGAGTTTAACTTTACCTGTTAACTTTTGTTAAGAAACAAATTTGAGTGCAAGGTTCTTATATGTATTATTCAATGGTGTAGGACGTGTGTAATGATATATATACATATACCTATTGGTAAAATGTATAAAATATATAAAACAATCGTTCAAGAAAACACATGTGTGTGGTGTGTCGTCGGGTCGAATAGTATCGGTCTCAGGCTCGCTATAAAAATTGAAAATTTTATAAATTTTAACTACAAAATCATTTTTAAATTTAAAATTTGATAAATGTTGTAAAACATCGAACATTAAATGCTTATAAAAAAAAAATGGTGCCTGATGTACAGTAGGACAGTAGGTTACAAGTGGGTCACTGTATAATGGATGGTATAAAATTTGAATTCAACGATATAATATCATTGTATAAGAAAAACGATTCTGAGCGGAGACCAGGGGCGTCATTTCAACTTTTTGAAAGGTATGCTAACATCAGGGCAGGCCAAAAAAATTTTCAGCAGGCCAATATATATTATTATATAGTATATACACAATAATAATTAGAAGAAAAAATTTTTTTATATAGCATAAGCCATAAATGATAGATGCCGATACTCGGGACCAATTATATATATAAAAAAAAAGGTGGGCAAGTGGATGTCGCTCTGCTGTACAGTAGGTTACAAGTAGGTCACTGTATAATGGATGCTATTAAATTTGAATTCAACGATATAATATCATTGTATAAGAAAAACGATTCTGAGCGGAGACGGTACGTCAGTCTAGGTATAAGACATATTATATACATATCTATGATATTAAACAAAAAGTTGACCTATAATTAGGTACCTAAAATAAATTCCAAATTAATCATATCACAATATCCATTAGGTACTTATACCGCGTTATACATCAACAACAAACCCTGATACTATCATAGATATATAATAGTACATTAGTACACTTTAGAAGTTTCAAGTACCCACGAATAATATTATACAATCACAACAAAATAACTAAAATAGTTATTCTAGGTTTTTTATTATGTAATTTCGTCCAAATTTGAACTTAAAATGACTATAAAAATGAACTGTGTTATGTATTTTTTAGATTATTTTGGTAATAGAATTAACTACTTACTTGTTATCTTTTTTAAATTTTCAATCCTTAGATATAAAAGTTGAACATTTTATAAGTTTTTAACTACAAAATAATTATTTAATTTTAAATTTGATAAATTTTGTCAAAATTCGATCATTGAATGCTTATAAAAAAAATTGTGAATATGTATTTTTAATATTTTTCAACTGATATTGTAACAATATATCAGGAGCCTTGTATTAAATTTTTACACTTTTTGGCCAAACAGAAAAAACTTTATTGATATTGATAGAAAAAAAAAACTAAAAAAATTGAAAACTGTCAATGTCCGTAAACAGCTCAAAAAGAGTCAAATATTTTAAAAATTGTATGGTGTATAAGAAATGCTAATTTAAACATTCAGTGTAATTTTCATGTATCTACAGTTATTCGTTTTTGAATTACAACAAAATAAGGAAAACGCTACATGAGAAATCGAGTGAATATCCTGCAATGTTGTAAAAATTTGAATTTCGAACTCTCATAAAAATGTAATTTGACTTTCCGGTAGAGATTTTTTTATTGATAAAGGTAGACAAACTTGTAAGGAATCTTGTATTACATTTTAAAATCTTAGATTTAAAAAGAAAAATTCTCGTTTTTCCTCAATTTTTCTTTTGTTTTTTTTTTGGCGCTTTTGAAAATTACTGGGAATTTTAAATTTTGACATCCCCAAGCACCAACGATATTCACTTTCAAATCGAACAAGATACTGAAGTTGAAAATCGAAGCATTATTTCGATTACGTATCGTGTACACAGACACAAAAATAAATAAAAATTTAAAAATTAAAAAAAAAAAAAACACATCACATTTACAAATCAATACATTCATCGTTCCACTCAGAATCTAAATTTATGCATAAGTATTTTTAATATTTTTCAACTGCTATTTAAGCAATATACCAGGAGACTTGTAAGAAATTTTTACGCTTTTTGGCCCAACAAATACAATTTTATTGATATTTGGTTTTATTTGAAATAAACAATCTATAGGTAGGTACCTCTATTATCTAGAAAATCCTCAAATCTATACCTAATTGTTGGATACAGCTGTCAACAATAATGATGAATAACAGTAAAACAATATATACAATTTAAATGATAATTATTATAATATTATCTTGAACACATATATCGATTACGCATAAAATAAAAATAATTATGATAGTTACAAATATTAGTAAAAATATAAAAAATCTTTTGCGCATAAAATAAAAATAATATAATATATTATAGGTATGTAATAAAAAAGCTAATCCGTTCTCTTGCGTATATTATTACTCACATCTGTCAAAAATTCTCCAATGGTTATATGATCTTTATTTTGCCTTTTAAGTTTTAACTAATTCTTTAAACGGATGTTTACAGTTTTATTGTAGCCTCTTTTTGTGCTCCTCAGTACTCTCTTGGGGTTCACCTAAGCATCTATTGCTTACTTGGCTCGATCGGCGTTAATATTTTTCATATCAGTTTCCTATTGTGGGATGGTTTTTAACTAGTTTTGGGAACTTATTGTTCCATCCTTCAACAATGTTGTTGGTTCTGTTACAGTTATTGATGGTAGTTTCATTTACATTCCATACATCTGGTGGGTACATTGGTGGTAGTTTTCGAAACCTAATATTATTTTCATCACTTCCAATACTTCGATATTTGCCATTAACTTAAAATGCATCAAAATAATCTAATAAAATTATAGAACGGAGAGTACATTTTTTTTTTAATACATCATTCCTCCTTTTACAAGGTGCAAAAGGAAAGAATGCAATTGCGTCAACCATTCCACAATGTGTCCGAAATTCTTCAACTCCTATGTACATCGGGGCTACGGGGCAAGTCCCAGTTCTTGTACTTTCCGGAACGTTGGTTGACACAAATGATAGAAGCCACCTGTAACATTTATATGAACACCACAATGACTTAATAGCTTCTTTTTCTGCTTCAATAACTGCACTTTCAAAGTCAAGATGTAGGTAAGTATTTGTGGTAACATTCAGTGAAATTTTCATTTATCTACAGTTATTTGTTTTTGAATTACAACAAAATAAGGAAATCGCTACATGGGAAATCGAGTGAATATTCAATGTTGTAAAAATTTGAATTTCAAACGCTCATAAAAATTTAATTTGACTTTCTTATAGACATTTTTCTTTTTGATAAAGGTAGATAATCTTTTAAGGAATCTTGTGTTTAATTTTCAAATCTTAGATTTAAAAAGAAAAATTTTTACGAATTCTTAACTCAAAATAATTTGCTAATTTTCGTGATTTTTCCATATTTTGTCAATTTTTGAACTTTAAATGCTTATAAAAAAAAATTGTGACTAAGGATTTTTAATATTTTTCATCTGCCTTTGAAACAATAAATTAGAAGCCTTCTATTAAATTTTCAAGCTTTCGCAACCAACAAATAATATT